TGAGCGCCCTTGTAAGAAAGCTGAGTCAGAGCACCGCAACCATCAATATGGCGGTGGGGCAGTTACAAGACCAGAAATCTCAGGAAGTCTGGTCAGACCTGATGGTATTAGTAGTTCAGGTGCAAGAGGAGGAAACACATAAGAATCAGCTGGTGTAGCTGCTGCCGCACATCATGGTGGTAAATTCTCCCCAGCAGAGTCTATGATATCATACTCGGCAATACTACCTCCTTTGTGGGTAAATTTATTCACTTATACTAACAATCAAACAGCAACTCTCGCATAACTAAACTTGGATTATGGAGTTCGGGAACTCCCCCGCCCTTTTCGACCAAGATATTATCTGGTGACGTGGGAAACGGAGACAGAGCGGCAGTGCGCGCAGATGAAAAACCTTGACGGGCCTTGGAATTTCTGCCGTTCATTAGTATATGTATTTACTACTGTCAGAAATAAATAATTTCCCTCATATTTACTCTCGCGTATAACCCATGACCTGTGAAGAAATGGCTGTGAAGGTTGTGAAGAATAAATCTTGATCTGAAACCTGTGTCGATAGTCATTATCTCAGGAAATTTTTTCTAAAACATTAGCCGATCTACAAAAGTACCGATATGCAGACGAAGGAAGTTGGTATTGACATTCAGCATGGGTGTGGAGACCTTGAAGAAACATCACAGAGGCGGGTACAGTTTCACGGCATATGGCTCCGGTAAAATATGTGCATCGAGCTGAATATAAAGATGCCGCTAACATGTGCCAATATCCCACTCGACTCTCACCCTTTGCAACATGATCCTGAGACGTGGCGACTGGGTAGATGCTATTCATCTTCACCGTTCGCCTTCATTTCTTTTACGCAGCTCCGTCGAGATCTCTGGTAAAGCTCGATCCTGGAGATGCTAGGTCGCGTTAAACACTCTTTCACATACCGTCTAGGTTCTAGTTCTCGGCTCATGCCCATCTTTACATCCTTCGACCACGGAAACAATTGACGATGATAAATGGGCCAATTCAAAAAGATGCCGACCCTGCAGAAATGCGTGGAAAATTTGCAGCCGTGTGTGGTAGAACAGTATGCAATCGCACGGTGAGGGTCTTCATCACCATGTTCTAAGGTTTGGTGCTCACGGAAAAATTCTCAGAGTCTCTTTCATTTTCACCTTCCGTTCCACCTATCACCTCGCCTGATAAGTCTAGAACTTGTTACCATAGTCCAGAGAGACTCCGAAAGGAAATGGCATAGGTCAAGAGCGCGAATTCAAGGAGGAGAGAATACCGGGGGCGGAGGGCATTGATAACGCGTAGCAATTCACATAATCTATTTTTTCACAGTCAGAGGAACTATGAAGCCAAGTCTGCTCACATTGATATTCTCAGGATATAGGTGATTCAGATAGCGCGCTCCAAAGAATATCAGTAGCGGCGGGGAAAACGAAAGGCATGTAGGACTTTTCGTCTGAACTTAAGAGACGGGTAATTACTCCCGAAAATCGCTTGTCTGAAAATCCGCAACTTCCAATTTTCTTTTGCGGAAAAATCAAAGCCTGTTCCGATGAGAGATAAGTCTCGAGTTTCGAAGAACCATTTTGCTATACCAGATCATCATCACATCACACCCCATTCAAAAACGAAACAAAAAAACTGACATCACTCGCTTGATTGTGATTAGTCAGCTAGAATTTACTGGCTAAGCTTAGCCTGGCTCGATTTGGTTTAGCTTGATTTAGGTCGGGGCAGCAGGGCTAGGTTTTCGGATTGGGTACTTGGGGGTTTGAGGGGATGGGGGGGTCTCGATTTTGTGTGATGGAGTAATACTAGAATGATGAATAGCATAAACAGAATGAATGAATAGAATTAATAGAATTAGGGTGCGTTCGGATCGATTTATTTCGGCTTATTTCAATTATTAGACCTCATTTATTTATTAAATAATACTTATTAAGCTTAAATAATAGGTTTATTGAATGTTTGAGGTTGTGAAATAAATTATTAGGAATTATTGGATTTGTAATAATCCAAATAAATTAAAGTGGTATATGCTTTTAAGATTGTTATATATTAATTATAAAGTAGCTTTTTAAAGCTTTATGAGTAATTCTTTAACAAATCTTTATTATTATTTACCCTTATTATTTTTCAATATTATTTAATATTATCTTAAATATATTAGCCTTAATACTCTTACTATTTTAACAATATTATAAATTTCTTTAAATCAATAAGAAAACAAACCGAACGTACTCTTAATAGCTAAGAAAAGTAAAAAGTAAGAGTTCTAGAACCTTCTTATCGCACTCCGTAAATTTTATAACAAAATCTCTACAAAAATGATGTTTTTCTATACAAATCAAAAAAAATTGATAAATTTTTTAATTTAAGAAATTTTATTTTTAAAATCTAAAAATAAGTAATTAATATTATTTTTTATTGAAAGAAATACATAATTTATTGTTAATAATTTTTGTTTATAAATTATATAGATTTGAAATTGAAAAAATTGAAAATATCTAACTTGTAATACTGTTACAGGAGCTGCCTCTAGGATTATGTGGAAGTGGCTAGAGATCTCTCGAAATGATTTAAACTAGACTTCAAATAGGAATTCAATAAGGTTAATAACTAATTATAATTCTTATAATTATAATAATAAAACTAATAATTGTTTTTAAGCATAAAGCTTTATATTATAATAAAACTTATTCTCTTATATAAACCTTCATTTTCTATTGTATTCCTTAAAACCTTCTTATAGACTGAATTGCTACGAACCTCACTACGCTCCAGGAGCGCTACAGCTTCTTGACGCTTTGTCACCTGTTTATAGTCATATGACGCGGTACTTTGCAAGGACTGTCGTAACAAATACTTTTCTCATACAAAATAAATAATTTTTTTAGAAAGTTTGTAACTTTCATTTTCAATAGCTTATAACTTTATAAATAGAATATTTAAAAATAAATTAGCTTTTTTTATATATAATTAAAATAATTTTAAATCGATTGTGAGATCTTGTTATTATTTATATAAAGCTTTTATAAAGAAACAGGAGATTTAAAAGCTGAAAAATTAATGATTTTAGTAGGGAAATCGAAATCTATATAGTGAAGAGGTTCTAGAACTTTTACATACCGGTATACATTCTGAGAAGAATTATTTCTTATTACTATATTCCCTATATCAAACTAGTCATGCATTTTACACGGGTGGTTTATTAGTTGATTCATGAGTCGATGGGTCGTCTGATTTTGGTGGACATTAGCGTTATGAATGAATAAAGTACTTTCATCTTTTTGAAATATACCTATCTACCTACCTAGCAGGTAAATTGTTTAAGTATTAGTATTTAATTACCTACTTATCTATACATCCCTATTGAAGTAAGAGTTAAGACTCTAGCTTATCACACATTACTCTTTTTTGTAAAAAAATCCCTATAAAATACTGTTTTCCTATACAAATTAATTATTTTTATAATTATTTAATTATTGAAAGAATTGATTTAAAAGTTATATATATAAGAAATAACTATATAAAGAATATTCAATTTAAATTGTTTCTTAAAATTATAAAAATTAATAAAGTTATAGATTTTTAAAATTAAAAAATTTCAAAATTTATAATATATAATATTTTTTCTATATAAAAAAACCACTTTTTTCAAGTTTTTTAATAATTTCAATTTTAAGAATCTATAAATTTATTAAAAAAAATAGTTAAAAATATTTCATTTGTTTTTTTTGAATTATTTTAATGATTCTCAATCTTATATATTATTTTTATAAATTTAATTGATAAATTAATTGAATTAATATATAATTTAAAAGTTGAAAATATAAGGGTTTTTGATATGTTTTCGCTTAATATGTGATAAGCTGGGGCCTAAATTCTTACAATTCCAATTTCAGCCCCCTGTTCCAGTTCCATACACCACTCCCGCAAAAAAGAACATCCACAACCCTCAGTTTCCGCATTCAGGTCCCGATAATTCTCAATTTGTCTATCTACACATGTTTGTAAGACATCCAATTCCACTTCAACTTAATCCCATCCTGAATCACCGCTCGGAGTATGCTCATCTCCCTAAGAGCGGTGGTATTTTTAATCTTGGATAGGACGACGGATTATGATGTGCTGTCACGCATCCTCACTTTGGGTTCTTCAAGGATCTCTGCTGTGGTGATGATCATAGAACACGCTCCCATCCTTTCCTACCTATGTCCTTCCTCAAACGCCGTCTCCACTGGAGCTCATACAATCGTGGAATAGAAAAGAACAAAGAAGAGAGAAGTCGATTACACATATCCATTGAGAACTCATGAATTCCATGTCAAGAGACACCTACCTGAGAGCTCATCGACCAAGTTAATTCCTACTAGATATCAAAACAATGGTACCTCATTAGCTCACCTCCGCATACTCGTAGGAAATAGGTACACATTACACAACCGCATATTCTTCCAAGCTTCACACCCAAAAATCCCAAAATAAAATTCATCACCAACTACATTTCCATTCATTCAATTTCTATTCCATTCCATTCTATTTAATAATCCTCAAAAGAGATCTAAAACTATCAGTCTACTAAAATAGACCTAGATTCCTAATTTACACGGAGAAGAAAACCTATCATCATCCCTTTTTTGGTATAGTAACAGTATCGAGTGCAATTTCCTTGTATGGTATCTTTTTTGTCCAATCATCCAAACCTTTGAAACCTCACCAAATCATCAATATCTGAAGCGCATGAATCGATCCGGAAAAAGTACTTTTAACCTCCACAAACAAAACCCCATTTTACCCATTTTATTTCCCTTTCCCGAATTCACAAGTTATTCCTCCTTCCCCCCGAAAACCAATTTCCCTCTCCCGACACTCATTTTCATCTCCGCACCTCGCACCCCACCTCCACCTCCACCTCCACCTTCACACCCCACCTCCACCTCTACACTCATCCCCACTCACCTCGTCTCATCCCATCCCAGCCTATCCATCCCACCCTACAACTTAAACCCCGGCGGTCTAACCACCCCCTTCAATCCCCCCTCCTTCCTCCCACAAACTGCAAACTGAATCTTCGGCAAAACCGGTACTCTCTCTTCCCACAACTCCTCCATTCTCTCACTCCAACTTCTCCTCGGATTCGCCATCTTGTATTCCATCCTCGATTTATACTTATCCTGCAATCCCGGATTATCTCTCGTCATCTTCAATAACACATAACTCATATTTCCAATTTGTTTTCTAAACTCTGGTGTATCGAGACCCGCTAGCAATTCAGCTGTGGTTTGAGGATCCATGTGGCCAGTGTAATGTACCCAAGTGCGATAACGTTGTAGTTCCCAGTATCGGTATGCGATTTTAACGGCACGTTTCATGTTGACCATTGCTTGATAACCTTCGTAATCGTAGAGGTGGTTTTCGGAAATGCTGGTCCATTTGAATTCTGAATGGAATTAGTAATGTGCGATTGAAATTGAATGAGGGAACTTGCCTTTTACTCCAAGGAGACTTTGGGTGCGATAGTAAATTGTAACCTCCTTGATGTTGAATGGATGGAAATGACCAAGTGTTCTACCAGGAGGTGGTATAGCGGTTGATGGTATAACTGCTGCCCAAGCTTTTGCCACTTCAATATCATAAACTTCACGTCTTTCTCGAGCGGTTGAAGAACTCTTCATCAACATCAACATCGTATTGCTTGAAAGAACCGGCTGATTCGGATCCAAATCATAGAGAAAAGCATTAAGTGCAATGCGTCCTTCAAGTTGATGTTCATGTTCGATCCAAAAAGTTTCATGTCCATTGGAAAAATCATACATTGGCATAATACGGTCCAATCCATTGATGTGACGATAGATAGTTGCCGGACCGGTTTCCGAACCAAGTTCCCAATCCATCTTGGAGCAAAATGTACCATTCAAACTCTCTTGGGTGTAAATATTCAAACCAACTTTTCGTGCTTCAGAGTTGATGTAGAGAATATCTGGTTGTGGACATACCCATTTGAAATCATAATGACGTTCCGATCCACTGCTGAGAGGAATCAATTGAAGACGTTTGCTGATATGATCATAGATATTGATGTAACAACTAGTGGATGAATGAACAAATGGATTCCTCAGACGCCAAACTGGTACGTCTCTTGGTGGTAGATTATTGGCATATTCTTCCCAAATTTTGAGACGAATTTCTTTTGGAAAGTCTGCGAAGTTCGGAAAAGAGGGTTCGGTGTCAGTTTCCGTATCATTTTTCATGATAATCTCATGGTAAGACTTGATTTCTGCTCTTGCAAGACCAGCAAGATTGTCGCTCTTTTTCATTCGACGTAAACCCAATTTTTGAGGATGGCGTGAAATGAGCGAAAGGTCGAATGGAGAAGAAAGATGAAGTCGAGAAGGTTGAAAGTGATAAGCTGATGGGGTAATGCGATTTTGAGTCTTCAATCCATGGTGAGTATGGTGAGTATGGTGAAGAGCAGCACGACAAGTTAAATCCAAGGGGAAGTAAGGCTGAGTGACATAGTTTTGTTCGATTGGAGTTGATTCGTCAATCATCTTAACAAAATATGAAGTTTCGCTTTTGCGATCTTCACCAAGAAACTTACAGCCCAAAATTGATGAATGTAATCTGAGAACAAAATTGAAGGCGCAAATTTGTTAGAGCGTAACAGGACGTAAAAGGATCGAAGTGAGCGCCAAGATTGGTAGATGAAATCCAAGATCTTGATAAAGGAGTGTGAAACTGATGATTTGAACTGAGGAAAGAAAAGACCAGAGTTTGTGAATTCAATTTAAAGAGATGTAGTTGTAGGCAAGAGTTGATGGTTGAAGTTTGAAAATTACAATCTCAAAGATATTTGGGTTTGTGGGAATAATAAACATGGACAATATTCAATCCCCAATCCCCAATCCCCGATCCCCGCAAGAAGGATATTTTTATCAAAGCTGTTAGCATCGATGATTGAAGGAATCTTCCTTGGTTTTGTAGAGATCGGATAACCATATTTCACTCCAACCTGAGATCTCCATACTTTGTTTGGGAACCTTGACAGTTTGAAGATGTCTGCCGAACTTTTCCCTGTACAAAGCTTTTTCTTTCACATGGATTCATTGACAATAACTACATCATGGGGATATTGGGGATATTAGGGATATTAGGGATATTGGGGATATTGGGGATGATTTGTGGAGAAAGAATATGCTCACATGTTTGACTTGATCACTCATAGATAGCTAGTATAGTATACCCTTACAAAGGATGCCCCCAAAAGTGTTTTAGCTTTTACTATATATAATGATTAAAGATAAATGAATCCAAATTCAAGGAAAGTAGTTCCAGGGGACAAATTCAAAGCAGAGCATGACAGATCAAAGCAAAGAATATCATGTGATGATACAACACAAACTTGAGACGAAAGATGGTAAGGTTTCTCTAACATATCACTAATGAGTATAATGGAAGTACTCTTGAGATAACGCTGCCGTATTCAATCTAGTGAATACATACACACTAGGTGCTTGGACCACAATTATTGATCATACCTAAACTATTATAAACAAACTCTTCGACTTGAATTCCCTTCTCAAATTCAAGAGTGTTAGAAGCAGCACCACAACCTTAACATCATCATGTCAAAATACCATCCACTATCAAACTATTATGTTGAGAATAAAGAAGACATCCCACTCACAACATCCAAAGAAAATCAACCTTTGTCACCTACACTTACATGCATCATGGCGCCTCCTGTCAACTCATCTCCTCTGAAAGGCCCTAAAGCTCCGAAAGGCTATAAGACAGCGAAACCAACCAAAACTTTGAGTTATGCAGAAAAGTCGATGCATATCAATGACGATTACTTAAATCAATCCAATACTGATCAGACCAAGGACCTCGTCGGTTCGTCATCGGACTTGGAAACAACGGATTGGAAAACAAAAGGAAAAGGAAAAGGAAAAGGAAAAGGAAGAAGAAGAGCAAAAGGAAAAGAAAAAGGTAAAGCCATGGAAGCAGACCACACTCAGCGGGAGCAAAACATCGATGCGGCAAAACCCTCTTTAATTTTGTCAAAAGCAATCTCCGACATGCCAACAGCACCTGAGGGCAACGAGAAAGAAACCGATCAACTCGAAACCGATCAACTTACAATCATTCATCTTACAACCGAAAAAAACGGCACATGAGACATCTGAACATCGAAAAAAGCTGCCATCGGAAATTTGGATTAAAATTTGGGAACTCGTCGCAAGTGACAATCCAAGAAACCTTGACATCTGGACTTGGAGTGAAGGACCTGAAAAATTATGGGAGAATGAGAAACAGCGAATAACCCATGGTCCCCAAAATCGATCTACTGGCCTCCGATGGAATCCGTTCAAATTCATAACAACACAGATTGTTCCTCCGATTTTACATATCAGCTGCCTTTCACGGGAAATTGGTCTCAAATATTATAAACTCGGCTTTGGTTGTAATCTCGGAATGTCCAAAATACCCTCAGAAGATTACTCGATACTTGAGCCTCGAATTTACTATCGAAAAAATGATCTTGTATGTCCAATGGGTCGTTTCACCCATATAGAAGCCGAGTCTTTTTGGAATAATTTACCCGAAGAAATATCTGCAATCGCCTTAAATTTAGGCAAGCTCAATAACGTTGCTCCCAAGCTGCGCGAAGATTATGAAGATTATGACAAACAAATTGCTCACGAGCATTTTAGTTATGAGTATTCGAGAGGTCTCATTCAAGATCCCGATAGACTTGAGGAACTGGAATCCTTCTCCTTGAGGGAACATCGGGGTAAGAGATTTTCAAAGCGTGCGACCAAGATTTACCTGTATTGTTTTACCGACTACATCTCCAAACGAGGCCCCCGAGATTTTCGATTTACACCACTCGTCGATGATTCGAAAGGTCTAGGCTTACGTAGGAATGCAGATTCAGATTCCAGCTTCGAAAATTTGTTGCGCTATGCTCGCCTTTCCCATCGTGTGGATGATTTTGGTCGAGACGATAAGTATAAAAAATGGGGAAGATGGCTTCGATATGGAGGTTTAACATGGTTGAAAGATGGGGGACCAAAACCTGGTTGGATCGAAATTGATAACCCTACGGCATATGATCGAGCAAGGAATAACTTCTTTTGGGATTTAGAACCTTGGGCGGAAAAGGAATTTAAAAAACGTGGTGTTCCTAATATTGGAATGTAAGTATAACCATTTTCCAATCTTGAGATTAAACAAATAATGATTTTTCGTATAGGAATTCTCAATTTTGGGTTCCAGGAGTTCCCGAGGTTCATTCCACGAAACTCGAGATTCATGGTTAAGTTCTTGATGGTCTGTATGAGTTGGTGTGGAGTGGTATGGGTATGATGAATGATGGATTGATGGTTTCATTTGAGGAAGTGATGATTGATTGTATTGAGAATGGGGACTCGAATAACTTCACGTTATGTACCTGATGATTGATGGTACTGCGAATAGGAGAGTCGATTACTCCCAAGCTATATACCCAATAATCAGCGTTTAAGGTTGTGATCTACTGATGGATTCTGAAAGTTATTGGGTTGGATTGATGAGGATTGATGAGGATTGATGAGGATTGATGAGGATTGATGAAGCCTGAATAGAGACAGCATAGTGACAGCATAGTAAAAATAGAAACAAAATAGATCAAAAGAACCACCAAAACCCCAGCATATACATATCCAAACCCAGATAAAAGTGAACTCTCAGCAATAAGCTTTTCAATATGCAATCTCATATACAAAATCGTGTACAAATCATCGTAAGCATCCCATCTGATACTTTTCAGAATTCATAATGAACGGAGTGAAGTTGAAGAAAGGTTTGGTGGATGTGTGCTATTCCGAATATGGGCTAGATTGGTGTGTGTGGTGGTACCGGTATGTGCACAGATGATATTTTGTCAGCTTGGCGTGCACATACCTGCCACGCCGGTAATTAGTACCAAGTATCGACTACCGTTGCTAGATTGGAGAGATTTAGATGTAATGGGTATTATCGGCTTTTAATTGGAGGCAGATGTGCGGGTTTCTTTTATGTGGCAGATGGGAAAATGATGTTTAAGATGTGGTTTATGAAATCTAGGGATTGTGTGTATAAAGGGCTCATGGATACGAATGTGTCTAGGATATGTAGGTAGAGGATGGAGAGAGAAGAGAAAGGAGGGAGAGATAAGAGAGGGGTACTGGTTTCTTGTTTGTGGAGTAGGTGTTAACGGGAGGGTTGGCGGGAGTGAACGGGAGTGCTGGCGGCAGTGTTAACGGTAGTTCAAAGATCCTTATACCTAGGCAGGTCAGCATTAATTATATACTGAATACTAGATATAACCCATACGATTAGATATTCAAGTATGATCAGTGATCAAGATTCAAACCAACAATGAATGATTATTCTAGATACTCTTCAAACTTTACCATTAGAGCTCGACCATCTCATCGGCTTAAGAAAGGGGTACACATATCTAAGTATTTAATTTATCGCGCATATCTGATATCTAGGTCCTGGTGGTCATAAATCAAAAGGTAATAATATTCTTGAGGTTTGCACCTTTTGTTTCATACTCTTTTCCTTCTTTACCTCAAAGAAAATATGACTTTATCTACAGAATATACCTAGCCAACGTCGAATATTACCTTCACACGCGGAAAAGGATACCGTTGGTTCCACTCTCGCCCTCCTCGAAGGACTGGAATATCAGATCTGAGAATTGACAAGAGGTGCTTTAAAGAACTCGGATATCTGGAATTTGAAACAAAGAATCTGGATTGAGATGAAACATTATAAGAGATATCGTAATACATAACTTCTTCAATTCTTTTGCGGTACGAGGATCCCAAAAACTTGGCTTCAAAGTACTTTGAACTTGGATGCGAAATGGTGTTGAAAGGAATTGGATGACGGATTGTATGTGGGTGGTGGATAAATCTCATGATTGTTCTCTGAATTATTTACGGCATAATATACTTCTGATATACATGAGTGTGTGGTATTCAATTAATATGTAGGTAGGTATTAAACTCCAAAATTCTGATAATTATTGGGAAGGGGGAAGGAGGTTTACCCTTAATTTCATGGTCGCGGAAAGATATTAGGAATCGTCTTAATACCCATCAAAAGGTTTCCTTTCCAAATTCAATCAAAGAAAATTTTCCAATCTTCATGAAACAAAAATTCCCACACTGGATATCCGATATACAGCTTTCATTTTGATATCAAATTAACACACTATCATTCTATTGCCAACGACCGAACATTCAAACTTCAGTACAAGTTCAATATTGCCTAAAAACGATACGATTCATTCGGGTATTTCTTTGAACCCTTTAGGCTAATAATGCGAAAGTATATTTCATAGCTAACAATTCCATGGAGGAATATTAATTTCCGTATCGTATCAGCATGTACCGGTAAGGTATCAATCAGGTTCAAATGACTGACTCAAGACAACATTAGTTCAGTGTGGAGTTCGAGTATAAACCATCAACTACCACTGATCTACATACATCTGACCTTCATAGAATTCTCTATTGCTATACACGGAACACTGCATTCGGATTAGAAGTTCAATACTCCATTCTCCTCGAATACCTCGGTAGATTCACACGCGGTAAAAATTCAATTCGTTCATCATTACCCTTTTCAAAAATCCGGGGTTGAGAATTCCCACCTACAGACGGCGTGAATTTAGCTCGCTTACATAGTACTCTGCACGTTCTCCTCAATTATACCTGGATATTTTGGAATCACAAAAGCAAAACTGATGCAAGGTGATTAATACAAGATGATTGTAAAGCTTACTTTTTGTTTGGATTTTCTTTCTTTTCGGGGGGTTTGATGATGTGGTAATCAAGGGAGAAATATACCATCCGGAGTATACGAGTACTCGGCAAACAATATGTGAGCCGTTCATGTCATCAATCGGTCTCCTCGGATCTTTCGGGTAGCTCCCGAGAAACACTAGACAAGTGTACACAAAGTACGAAGTATTAAATATAAATCTTTCAGATCGAATCTCAAGGTTGAATCTCAAATTCACTATAAAACTGATTAATTCATGAAACCCGGATATTACAAACATACTTTTAATAATTCTCCATGGTTCTCCTATTTTTAGTTACTCGTTCATCGGTACCCCAATTCCAGACCCAGTATAAATCTTCCAATGACATGACATCTTTACATTCTGGAAGAATCGTTTCGCGCCAAGGAGAATTGTCCATCTGATAATGCTTGTCACATCCATCCAGATTCCATAATCCTTCGTACCTCCATCAATACACGAACCAGTCCACGAGGACATCGATGAGCCATGTTTTAACATTCGCGAGCATTAGTGAACATTCATCCCAAAACCATTAAACACCCCTCTCATAAACCTGACGATTGGTTCGGTAAACCATCTCAACTCATGCACCCCACAAAATACCCCTGAACTCATTCAACACGGAGCATCTAACTATCTTTGTCCAAATGAAACATCAAATTCCTTCCGGATATTCAAGTATCGCTTATCGAAAGATCCATCTCTACCCCTCAACTCATCTTACTTCATTTATTCTTCATCTATTTCAAAGAGTGGCGCTACCTCGATTTCTTCTTCGGGACGTGATCATAATTTGTCTGCTTACATCATTTCATTCTCATCCAGAGTATATGATACCACTCTTCCTCTTCTCTTGCCCATTTTCCCAACTTCTCTTGGCTATCAAAAGTTGATTCATTCTTTCTTGTACAAATCATTCTATCCATCCTTTTTCACCCCTCACATTCCTTTCTCGAAAAACTCATCCATCCATCAAGATGAAGTTCACGCAGGTCGCACTTCCTCTTCTCTTCTCCGGTGCTGCTTTTGCCGCTCCAGCCGCCGACAAAACTTTGAAAGCGAGATCGACTCAAATCTGCGGTCAATACGATAGTGTAGCCACTGGTGCCTATACCGTGTATCAAGATCTCTGGGGTGAAAATCAAGCCACATCCGGATCTCAATGTAGTACTGTGACTTCTCTGAGTGGATCTACCATTGTTTGGTCCACATCATGGAGTTGGGCGGGTGCTTCGAGCAGCGTGAAATCGTATGCAAATGTGGCTTTGAATTCGGTCGTTACGGCTGGTGTGAAGGTTTCTTCGATTTCTGCTATTCCTGCGGTTTGGAAATGGGGGTAAGAATTTACTTTCACTTTTTCACTTTGATTTGTCTATTCATCTATTCATCTATTCATCTATTCATCTATTCATCTATTCATCTATTCATCTATTCATCTACTCATCTACTCATTCATAAAAACAATTCTAACAATTTCATAGCTACACCGGATCCTCCATCGTCGCCGATGTCTCCTGGGATATCTTCACTGCCTCCACCGCCGGAGGAACCAACGAATACGAAATCATGATTTGGTTAGCCGCCATCGGAGGAGCCGGACCAATTTCCTCCACCGGTTCCCCTATCGCTACCGCCACCATTGCTGGTTATGAATTCAAACTGTACTCTGGACCAAATGGAGATACCACCGTGTACTCTTTCGTTGCTTCAACCGAAGCTACCAATTTCGATGGTGATCTGATGGATTTCTTGAATTATTTGGCGACCAATGAAGGGTGGTCTACTAGTCAATTCATTAATGTTTTGGAAGCTGGAACTGAACCTTTTACCGGTAAGAATCCTTTCTCCAATTTTACATGAAATCTACTAATCAAATCCCCAGGTACCAATGCCGTCTTCGACGTCACCGCCTACAGTGTCTCAATCACCCAGGGAAGTTCCGTCAAAGCCGTTGTCAGCTCATCCTCATCCTCATCCACCCCCACCCCATCCACATCCACCAAAGCCAGCAGTACCATCAAAGCAACCCCCACCAGCACGGTCAAAACCACCGTAGCAGCAATCCCCACCAGCAAAGCATCTACCAAAACCAGTGTTGCAGTTGCTACCAGCACCGCTGCTTCTTCTTCAAGTGGTTCCGTTCCTTTGTATGGTAACTGCACGGGAGGACTCACTTGTGCTACCGGTACTTGTGTGGAGCAAAATGCTTATTATTCTCAGTGTCTTGCTGCGTAAATGGGTAGTGAGACTAGGTTTCACGAGTAGTTTATTGGTTTTCGATCTTTACACATCTTACATCGGATTTTATACATCATACACCTTGCATAACACATCCAGCATCAATCATCTACATTAAACACAACATCCTGCAATAGCAAAAAATCACCAGGCGTTAAGAAAGAAATTCAAAGCTAATATTTAAGCCTTACAGTAATCACGACGATTATTCCCGAATTTCTATTGTCTAGATTGAATATCTTCTCACGGTCTCAGTGATTGATGATTGATACTTGGATGGATACGGGAGTGTCTAGCTGATGTACTAGAGGCCGATTTTGTATATATTTATTTATTTTCTTGGGGGATGATGAGGGGGATATCTTATGAATACATATTTGAATGTTTTCGACCTTGATATCTGGTGTTTAGTATTGTCATGATATGATGATGTGATTCTGTGGATATATTTGGGGTTGGGTTATTTACTCTGTGTATGAGTGCAATTTATCATCCAGTGTGTCCTCGGCTCTGCTCTTTCGAATTCTCCTCAATTCCATCCTCCTCTTTATGCTACAAATCAAGGTAAAAGCTATTGTCGACCGCCTAGGATTTCACTAGCAATCATTTCACGGGCAAATAATCCTGTCGTGCCAGATTCAACCATCACCATACCATTATCACCCAGCCAAGCCCCTCCGATCCTCCATCCACTCCCTCTCACATTGTCAAGTTTCAACATCACAAAATCATCCACAGCAAAACCCTACACCAAAGCCCCACACCAGGTATACCACACCTCCTACCCATCCTCATTCCCCATTCCCACTATCCATCCTCACCATCCATCCACACCATCCAAGACACATTTATTCATCCGCCTTTTTCCCCCAATTCCCCATCTCCCCAATCTAACTACCCCTAAAACTACCCAAATATATTACTCACTCACACCCATCCATCCATCCCATCTAACCAACCTACCCTTCTCCTTCACCTCATCACTCCTCGACCAATGTCGATTCCGATTTCCCATTTATTCATTCCCATCCATTTACTTTCATTTGTCCTCCCTCACATTACAATATGTACTTCTCTCGTAAACATAATCCTGCATTCCCAGCCTTTCTACTCTCCCAACTCTCCCAACTCCTCCATCTCTTCCCTGAGAAATCGGTTCCCATACTTCCTTTCACAAATATTGACATCTATACTGCATGTATTAATCTTCCATCGCGTTATCGTACATACGCTTTATAATATTTCCATTCCCCTCGAGTAATGAAATTTATTTGCATCGGGAATCCCTCCTCAGCATCGCATCCCCAACCCAGTTTCCCTCACATCCCCTCTTGCGCTTTCTCCTTCCCCTTCCCCGAAATCCCCAGATCCCCAGATCCCCAATCTCAATCCCCAACCCCACACCCTACTCCCTCCCCCTCCACCAAACCCAAAAGCAAATCATCCAAAAACCCCACTGAATATCTTCCCATCCCTATTCCCGCCTCCATACTCTTCTCTGCCTCCAACCTGCAACCTCCAACTCACATCCAACCCACATCCAACCCAAACCGAGCCCTACCCAGCACCAACACCACACATCAAAACAGAACATTCTCATCCCTACACTTAAACTTACTCTGCAGTCCCATGTCTCTCGACCCAAATACCGACTTAGGATAGCAGAAATAATCCACATCCCAACACCATCCCCATTCCCATTCACTCCCCGAGTCTATTTCTTCAACTTCCCCTTCTACTTTACGTCCCTACCCCCCTTAGTTTTTCTCGTCCAAAATTTGATATCACATCGTGCCTACTTTCGAAACACTTACCTTTCTTTTCGAGTTATCCATACTCTCATCTTAACCCTTTCTCCAATCTCCAACCTCCGACCTCCTACATTAGACCTTATACCCATCAACCACACAGCCGGTCAAATACACAACCAGTATTCGTCTCCGACTTTGATAATCATAATAAATCATCACCATTTCATGATCCAAAATCACCGCAATAGAAACAGCACTCTTGAGAAAGGTATCACATTTATTCATTAATTTCCTTGATTCACGAAATCACCACCCCAAAAACATCAAGCCCATAGATAGGCACATCCTCCTCAAAATATAACTTCTTTCAAAATCCCCAAAATCTCCCTCCAAAATTATTCTCCCAGAATCTCTCCATCAAAAATCCTAATATCATTCTTTGAATAATACCATCAAATCCATCAATCCATACCACTCTAAACAAGATTCCCCCCAAAAAACTATCCCCATTACATATCTCATGACTTATAGTATTCGGTGGAATCCAGCCACATCATGTACAAAACCAAATGTACAATGAATTGCGTATTCATGCATGCGATATTGATAAAAATAAAATATGTGCAAGAATTGAAATATTATAAAAGAAAGGTTTATGAAAATTGAAATTAAATCAAAATCAATCCAACACCAAGAACAGCTACCAAAGCAATCATGCTACCTTCAATTTTTCGAGCCGAACTTTTCTTGGTAGTTGTAGAACTAGCAGCAGATGAAGTACCAGTACCAGTAGCAGTTGATGAAGATGAAGATGAAGTTGTAGAACTGGATGTAGCATTTGATCCAGTAGATTCACCAGATGGTGTGTTACTTGCATCATTTGCTAATGGTTTAATGGCGAGATCGGAAATGGTGTTTCCTCCAACATCAGTAACTTTTTGGGTGACCTTGGTGCTCGAAACCGAGATAATTTTTCCGTTATTGGCATTCTTAATACCATTGTTAATGAGATCTTCAGCTCCAGGTGGAACAGCTGGAATGGTCCAGTTATTAGCAAAGGTTGAGCTAGTGATGAGAGATGAATCACATGATGGTGCGGTTGTAGTGGTATTTTGTGCCTTAACTCCTTGAATACTAGTAATGTTAAGGGTGTTGAATTGATCCTGAAGAGTGTTGTAATCGGAAAGTAGTTGAGCAGATCCATCATCATTGATAGTTACCAATCCATAGTTTGAGGTTTCTTGAGAGAATTCATAAACCATTCCACCGGAAAGAACTGGAGCCATCAATGGACCGTATAGAACTGGAACTTCTGTGAAAACACGAGGAGCTGGAACATTGCAACCATATTCGGAGAAGAAAACAGGAACACTAGTGTTGCTGAAATCCGAAACAAGAACATCATAACCGGAAGTAGTGTATGAAGAATCACCACACCATGAGTAACTGTTGAGAGCAAAGACATCGGCTCTTGATGGATCGGAATCATCTCCGGTAGTAGTGCATTGAAGGTAATTCCATGTATCGAGGAGAATATCGCGAACATCTGCAGCACTGTAACCAACTGGAATAGAACGGGATGAGTGTTTTGAGATATAGTTCTTAAGATCACGAGTGACGGCCTGCATATGTTAGTTGAGTTGGGGCGAGGGAGAGAGTCTGTTTTGGAAACTTACTCTCATGTATGGGGGAACAGTTCTTCCAGTGTCATCATCATTAATGACTTCATTTCCAGCAAAGAAAAGTAAAGTATTTGGGTAATCCTTAAAGGCCTCAACAACTGCGAAAGTTCTGTTCAAATATGAAACATCATATGTGGTCGATGGAGAGCTTCTATCGATACTCTCGCCGGATAAGGGAGAATTGACATCAATCAACATATAAATGCCGACCTATAAGGTATTAGTCGATTGTAATTCAGTACGAAACCGCAAACCACGCACCTCATTGAAGATACTCGCACATTCATCATGATTAAGATTTCCATCCACATTATAAACTCGAATAGCATTGACACCCAATTGTTGCATCAAAGCGGCATCTCTCAAACAAACGGCTCCATCGCTCAACGGATCAACACCACTTGAAGGATTATAACCTGAAGATCCACCTGGTTGATATGCGACACCCAAAAGTTGAAATCTATCACCGGTAACAGAATTGACGAAATCGGAACCTTGAATTTCGATTGTTTGTACAGCGAGTGTAACTGTTGCGCAAAGTGCGAGGACGGTTGTGGGAATCTAAATTGTCGAGTACAAATTAGTATTGAGTGGAATTGCACAACAATCGATAAGATAGATTATGCATGTGTTTAACGGTTCACAGTGCGATTAAAGGCGTTGTGCAAGCCATTGAAGCCATTAAGCCATTAAGCCATTAAGCCATTAAGCCATTAAGCCATTAAGCCATTAAGCCATTAAGCCATCAAGCCATCAAGCCATCAAGCCATCAACCTGCGGGATTGAGGATTTCCAAACATACCATAGAAGACAACATGATTTCTGATTTCCTCCAAAAACTAATTAATTGGTAGGTAAGTAGTACTGTAATCAAATCTTCGAGAGAAAATCAAGTCTAAAATACCAAGAACAAAACGAGAGCGAGTGGGAGAGCAAAGATGGGATGGACCAAATCTTTGGAGGTGCAAATATAGAGAGAAGTATTATTACTAGAAATTCGAAATCCTTTCAAACGAGTGAGATTAGGGCTTCCTAAACAAAATTAATATAAATCAATCGTTCTTACGAAATTGCAGAGAGAGGAGAGAGGAGAGAGGAGAGAAAGATATGTGTGAGGCAAGAGAGGTGAAGAGTAAAAGAAAGATCAAGGAAGCGGGCTTCACTTCAAAAAATAAAAGGTGGAGCATATGAAGCTTATTTTGGACTGAAGGAAGGATGACACGGGTCATATACTTGAATAATTGAGGGGCCCCAATTGGGGCTAATCCGTGATAAGTTTAATTTTGATAAGAGATTTAAACTCAATACGAGACATCAAGCTAATCTATAATAGGAAACGCTCATGATGTGATGAGGATTGTTAAGATGAAATTAATAACCGCTTCCTTTCAAGGATGAGTTTGGAGTGGTTGAGATTGAGATTGAGATTGAAAATCTATCTACCTAATTATGAAGGTTTGAATCGTTTCATATCGATTGTTTTATCATTTGATGAAGATACCTAGAGATGGATGATTTTCTAGGATGAAGATTGATGTGTACCACAACCACGACTACATTCATTCACCAGCCACACAACGGTGATTTTCTCTCCATTACATCACAATGTGTCCGACCGGCTCATCAACTATGGTATGGTAATCCGTCAAAAAAGAAAAGGGGATACAAACATTAAACCAATGAGGTGAATGGAGATCCGAGATCCGATATAATCCCGATAACACCTATCTGCATTTAGTAAACGCCGTTAGCCGTTTGTTGATCTTTTGCGTACAAAGTCCTCCAAGAAATCAAGGAGGTTGTCTCGTTGCTCAATATGTTGGGACGTGAACATAAATATATATTTCAACGGGGTCCTGTTGTGTTAGGGTGAGGTTGAGATTGAGATGGATTTGATGTTGGCTCAACCAACTACGCAGAATTATAGTAACACGGGTATGCAGTCCATAGTATCTACTAGGTAGGTAGGTAGTTCCATTTAACACGGGTAACTAGTTTTATCCATATGTCAAGAATACCGACATCTTTAAATAGGATAGATCTTGAAAGCCAATTAAAATTCAACGTGGCTCGTATCGCCACATTCTACATACTTCGTACATACTTGGAACTCCAGGGCTTTCAATACGAACGCTACATTCACGATATATCCACCACGCCTGTCCGACTCCATCATATAAAAGTGTCCGGTGTAAGAAAGTTCCCGTACACGGACGGATATCGTATTTCCATTGCTGATCACCCAAAAAAATCCCGTATATCTTTTGATTGGTACCTCATCTCATGTCTTCTTGAAAATTACATTTCCTATCATTCAATTCATCCCAAGTACCGGGTAACCAATTAGATCACTTCTTCAGTAGTTTTGTTGCATGTCTGAACCTATGAATCTGCTGCCCGTAGACAGTAAGCATGTTCAGAGTATCTGATTGGTCGGTGAGACGATAGTTCATTGGCAATACCAAGGAAATATTGTTTACTCTCCACCTACAAGCTGTGGATATATGTAAATACCAATATAGTTGTGGGAAATATTATCGTCGTGGGAATCTTAAGCTTTAAATTAAGCTGATCTTGGACGTGTGTGGTAAGAATTAAGAGAAATTCCTCTGCAGAAGTCTCAAAGAGCGAGCGATCAGATATTTGGAACTTGTAGCTATGCTTCACTGCTGGGTATATGGCATTGGCTTATTCTCGTACTCAGCACTATCGAAAAGTATTGGTATGGTTCCTGTATATTGTTGGGGGCTGAGAGCAGAATTCCAGACATTCTTCACAGATTGTCCCTTTCAGAGAAGACGCGCTGTAATCTCCATTCCTCTGGAGGACAAGAGTGTTAATTCTTAGATGTTTTCCAGGCTATTTCGCAATACGGGATTGTGAAGATCTATCTGGTTAATTTCGGGACAAACCCGGAGGCGTTGGCGAATATGATCCGACTGGTTGTGCACAACCAGCATGTACAAATCCCTTCTAATTTTCTCTCCCCTCTCATTCCCAAGTTCTAGGAGAAGCTCTTTGATCCTGTCTGTTTTCCATACCTCTTGTTCTTAAAATCATGGCTCATTCACCTTCTCCAAGAAATGAGGAGAAGTAGGAGCTGAGTACTGACACACAAGATGAAAAGACTACGTTTTAGATAGTATAATTGCACATACGTGTGGAGGGCTACCGCTCTTTGTCAATCGGAACTTCAATCTCCTCGAACATCGACCAGAATGAACACCACTCTTTAGAGCTTCGGTCTCCTCTGTTTTATTACCTTCTCCATATTCACAACGTACCCGATCTATTAGTAAGATGATGGAAGATTGGACATAAAGACTGACCTTGGCCTAGAGGATTTCCATTTCTCTCCCCAATCTTATCACCTTTGATAGACACACAACTGTAGTGTGGGTACCGAGATATCACTATGTGGTAATTACTGAAAGTGAGGCACCATTTGTCGGCGGGCAAATCAAGTGTGAGTCTGAGGAATATATCACGGGGCTTTGGTCCCCTCGGTTTTGTTGCTTTTGATGTGAGCACAACGGTATCCATCTGATGATGAGCTGGATGAACGTAGGGATATCAAGTCTCTCCGGCTTTGTTGCCTTTTGCCGATGCACTACTAAAAGGTACCGGCAACATTGTCGGATGGTGATTCAGCCGCTGTAGTATTAACTCCCAAAGCTGGACCGCTGTAACGGCGTGACCAATCTACTGCTGTATATCCGAAAATAAATTAATACATCATGGAATCATGATTCCCTACCGACGGAGTGCAGAGCAAAAACAACCAATCTCAGTCAGCCAATCAAATCAATCCTTGATCCCTTTTGTTGCACATCTGATTTTAGAAAGAAACTAAAACCGTAATCGACAACGTCGATTGTGATCCCAATTTCCAGATATGCAACAAAAAAACTCTTTGGCCGTTAATCATCACGTGAGAGATAAATCCTGGAATGAACACTCCTTCGAAAGATGAGATAAATTGCCGATATCTCAAGTTATTATCCAGCTATATATCTATATTTATTGATACATATGATTATACTAATTCCCTACCTATTACGGACGTCCTTTCATCTCCGGTCTGAGTCACCATATTGTTACTATAATATTCATTCTCAAAGAAAATAGCAAAGAATGAAGATACATTCATATGAAGTTGGAATTATCTAGAGGTATTGTATGCTGGTGGCCCCAAGATCAGGGAGATGATATAGAATCAATTATTCGAAGCTTATATCTTATTTATGAGCGAGTGATTTTAGTTATAGGGTAATAAGAAGTTGATCAGAAACGAGGTTTTGAGTATTACTATCAAGAGATTCTTTACAAATGAATGAATACATAGAAATGATTCGAATAGGTATAGTAATTACTAACACGAAGAGTGCTGTTTATTATTCATTTTTTTGAGGTCAAAATTGAGAGAATAGAAGGAGATCTGAGGGTAAGAAATAGAAAGTTCATATTTATCATGCCTAGACCCCTGTCTAGTGGATGACGTTAGATAGTCACGTGATCAACCTCTACATAGGTTGATTCATTAGAAAGACCTTTCTTCCTTAGTATAGTTCTTTTATCTGATTGTTGATCTTTAAAGCTATTCTCATATTGCTTCTTATGAGACGTGTGATAATATTAATAATATATAAGAGTAATATGATTAAGATTATTACTATATAGTATAACGAGTAGTCTAGTATAAGCGAGTCTAATTAATGACTCTTAATAATCATATAGATGCTTATTAGAAATTTAGAGAGCTATTAGTCTATTAACATCGTCTAATATGATTTTATAGAGTCGAATACATTTATGTATTTCTAGATGTCTTTTTATTAGTTTAATGAGAATATAAATGACGTAGTACCTATAATAGTAGGTTCTGAATGTTAATATTATATTTTGTCTAAAGAGCTAGTTATCTACAGCTTTAAGGCTAGCCCCCTTACTTAGTATATCATAGTCGCCTAATGATATTATATTATTCACCTACGTTTATATACTTTCACTTTATAATATTCTAGAATAACATGTTTAATACTATATATTTAATATTAAAGTAGGAAAACTAGTCTTTTATATTAAAGAGAGAAGAATTATTAGTTGCCTATAATCTTAGACTAGATAATCAATAAATATTCATTAAAAGAATCTAAAAAATTAGAATATAAATTCAATAAAAATAAGTAATTCAAGAGATGTTTTCTTTTTCGTTCTCCCCTCCTTCTCTTCTTCTTCCCTTCTTCTTCTCTCCTTCTTCTCTATTGAAATAAGGAAATGAAATGCTTTGTCTCTTTCTAGATAAGTTTCTCCTACTATCAAACCTTCGCAAATAATAAAACTATATAGCTTAGTGAAATCATCTGATTTTCAAAATATATGATCTCTTGCATCAGGTATATAAATAAGCATTCAAAGTTATAAGTGAAAGTTTATACAATCAAGAAACAACAAAAAGAAATAATGATAAGGAGACAAATAAATTATGACACAACAATACACAAGAATGACTTGCCGAAAATGAATTATAGTTCAATGACATTTGTGAAAATCACTACATAAGAGTGAGTGATTCTGTATAAGAGAAATACAATAACTTTGAGTGTCATTTACGTGTCTAAAGCTGCTGATATCCATCTCATTGAGAGGAGTGAATAGTTCAAAGTGAATCACAATATTCTTGATTGAGATTAATAACAATACAGTAGACTGTGATAATCATGGCTGTACACCCGACTGATATTAAGACTATTAGCCTCAGATCTCTGTCTGTGCGCAGACAAGATGTAGATAAAAGTCCCTCTTCTGTTCCTTCTCAAAGCAGAATCAAACCCAAAGCTTTCAACCATAATCAAAAGAAGGTACTCCACACAAATACACAACAAACAAGCATAAATACATCGACAACTCATAACATGTCTCCTTGGCTTGTCAAAGAAGAAGACCGTTATAAATACGGTCTTGACGAGCAGGAAGTCATTGCTACCAACCAAAAAGCCGAAGATGTCCTTGTTACAGGTTTTTTTTCCCAATCCGTTCTGGCATTCTTTCCAGAAAAGTGTAGCCGCTGTTCACAAATCCCACAATGAGCAATATATTCAATGTTTTGAGAATGAGCTCCGTCTTCCGCTTAAGGATTTCCTCATCTCATCACTTCCTAACTGTTCATGGATCTTGAACGTTCTCCATCTCGGTTTCGGAGCAGATAAATGGGCTAACCCTATCGTCATTCATGTTTGTATTCAAACCCCTCATTACTTCACAGATAACAAGACTGCTGCTCTCGAAATAGTACAAGGTATGGAGAAGATCATCAAGGAGAAGTTAGATGTTCAAAAGTATCAAAGTGATATGCATGAAAAATATGTTTTACCTTTAGTTATTTCATTTGGGCTCTTAACTGATCCATCCATTTAGGTTCAATATCGATATCAGTCAAATCTACCATTCAAAGCCGAGAATTTCGGAACAAACAAGAACAACGGTACTGATCTTCGCTCAAGCGATTCCACCTAATTCCCTGGCGTCAATCTCACTGAGAAATTTCCTGCTGTGTATTTGAATAACACTCCATGCCCTGGTCTCTCTATCGGACGAGGAAAGACCGAAGAAATTTTTTTTTATCCGGCTGGTTCGTTGACTGGTTTTCTGCAACAGGAAAACACACTTTACAGCCTTACATGTAGCCATGTTGCTTTTCCTGACCCAGAACGTCCAACTGAAAGATACAAATACAACGACGGAATGGAACAGTTTCAGATTTCGATACCCGCATTCAAGGATCATCAAGCAACTTTAGAAGCCATGGAATACACGCAGAAATGTGCTACAAATGAATTCGAAATTGCTGAAAAACGACAGGTGATGTGTCCTGAAACGAACTTGTCCTGTCAAACACAATCGAAGGAAGAGGAAGCGATTCATTGTTCAAGGCGGTTGAAACAAGCCCAGGACTACAGTATTCATGCTGGTTATGTCTATGCTGCTTCGGAGGAATGGCGCACAGTTGCTACTTTCAATGGAATCCTCGACTGGGCTTTAATTCGCAATGCTTGTGTTTATGCTAGGAATCAGGCATGTTTCACCTATCGATGAATATTTGATAGAGAGAGTAACTAATCATTCTATTAGTTGCCTTTGTTTGATTTCCTGAGAGTATCTCAGATCTCGGGATTTATCGAAAAATTCGGAGACAAGTATTGGTCACCAGATGAACTTAAGGCTTTCACTGCAAAGTGTCAAGCCTTGCAGACTTCTATGGCGTTCAATGTCAATCACCCAAAATCGTTTCCACCTTTGAATGAGAATAGTATCTACTTCAAATCTTTAAGTCGAACAACGGGCTGGAAAGCATGTGGATTCAACTCTATTCGAGCTGTTGTTCATAATCAGTTTTCAACATCAGATGAACACGTGTTCATTGGTGGTGATACACAAAAGGGAAAAGAAAAGATATCTGATGGAGGCGATTCTGGTGCCCTCATTTGTAACCTTGATGTTGACATTAAGGGGCAAGCTGTCCTCATACCCATGGCTATGATTTGGGCAGGAAATAAACACGGTTTTGAAGGCTTCAAGGTGATGTTACGTATGCAACTCCTATCGAAGAGGTTTTGAAGGATATCGAGAGTGAAATGGGATGGGAAAGCGGTAGCCTCAAATTCTTCTGAGTCACTATTGGGTTCAGGCATTCATGTATTCAATTTAAGTTCTTTGAGCGATCACAAGAGGAGACATGTAATGTCCACTCTGAGTTAGTAGTATCAATAAATACCCATTAACATATTTTTATGTTCCCATTTTGATCATTGAGTGAAGTGACATTAGAGCTGTGTACAATGTTTGTGGATCCTGTGCTAATGTAAAATATTGTGGCTTACTATTTATCCGGAATTCACCAATAGATTTCCCAGAGGAGGTCTCTGAACAACGATTCTTTGCAGAGCGGCAATCTCAAACATGCGGCTGACTGCGGAGTGTTTATAGAGCCATTAGAGATGCGAAGTATTAACAAATTCTCTGCCTACCTGATGGTTAAGTCAAAATCAAGAACATTCTAATTGGGACAAAGTGGGCTTGCCAAAGCTCTTGTAAAAGCAGGCGCAAACGTAAATCTAGCCAATTTTCGAAATCAAGCCCATTGCACAATGCAGTCGAAAGCGATCGTTCTAAGATGGCAAGATATCTGCTAGGTTGCGCAAATGTCAACATAAATGCCGTGGATGGTCATATACGCACACCATTGAATCGCGCTGTCCAGCTGCGATCAGTGACCATCGCAAAGATTCTTCTCGCTCAAGAGAACGTAGCTATTGATGTTAAAGATGGCAAGGGCAAGACAGCATTGGACTATGCTCAAATCTCGGAAGAATGAAAAGATCGAGGATTTGACCCTCACTGCCTTGGCTCAGAGGAAAGCTTAGCAGGTCGGTGAGATGTTCATCGATATATTGGCTCAGGTATCACTGGCCGGTGCATCATCGACGAGATAAAGAAGAGTCCAGAACTTGCAAGCTCTGAGATTTAGACGTAGCTTGAGATATGCGTAGTCTTTTGGTGTCGGTGGGCAGTTTCTTGAAGAATGGAACGACATATGACTTTACAAGAGAAGGAAGGTAATTGTTTCAGAATGGTACTAGAGATGGTTGGAGTAGGTTTCTTTTGGCGCATTCAATCGACATACAAGTAGAAGACAGGAAGGGGAGTTGAGAAGTTTCTTTTCCTGGTGCATTGGAAGATATCTTCAGCATATCAACTGGGAGATCTTTTCAGCGGGTTTCTTTCTTCTTCTGTTCTCAACGAACCGTACCACAAATATATATAAAGCTATTTTATTGTCTATTTGATCGATCTTGAATTTTATGCTGCTGCGTGATAAATCAAATCCCCTTACCGTCTTCGGTTGAAAGATATTCTTTTTATTCATTTAGAATTGCGGAGACGTGATTTCTATCTTATAAAATCTTGAGGCCTATTTTTCGGAACTAGCTCATAGATTTATCTAACTGTCATTTACCTTCTTCCAATCTCTCTGGGACATTTGAAGGTTTTGTGACAAAACCCTTCACCTGCGTGAAGGTAACGCCTACTTAATTGTTAGGCTTGTGTGCTGCAACGCCACGCGGATTTTATCCAAAAAGAATGGTTTCACGACCACCACTATCCGGTGCGGCTTCGGTCCCTTCAGAGACTGGCTCGGGTCAACCGAGCGATCAAACTATGACTGGCACAGGTGCTACTATACCTGTAGCCAGTATCAATCAAGAAGCACCAGATGCGCCTCTGTCTAAAAGATAGCAAAAGATGTTGAAGCGAAAGGCTGAAGCAGAGGCTGCCGAACAAGGAGCAAGATCTGGAGCCAGCTCGAATGCGAAGAGAGCCAAAGGAGAATCCCTAAGCGAGAGCTTCCCTGGCGATCAGCTTGCGAGTTTGCTTGATAGGTGGCATGTGACAGGACCAAGAGGTCGCGACTTCCCCAGGTCCAAACAAGCAAGGTCTATTCTCAAGGGTAGAGAATGTGCGATCCTCCTCAAACTTCGATCGACGGGAGTAGTCAAGCAAGGCGTCCCGATTTTCCTTCAGGCTAAGGTCAGGCTTGTTACTAGCAATCAAGCTCCAGCCGTCTTGATTATTCTTCAAGGAGGCTATCAGATTCAACTCGTATCGAACCATTTCAAGAGAGATGTGAACGTGAATGAATCACGCGGTTTAATTGACACAAAGGTTTTTGCCAGGGATAGCAAAGTATTGAAGGATACTCTCGAGAAACCATACCATGTCAATCTACGCGAAGAGGTCATCAAATCGGTAAATGACATCTTCACTGTGGATACTAAGAACCTCCACCTCATGGAATTTGAACTGGAAGGCAAATTTTGGTTTGAAAGTACACCCGAACTGCCATCGAAGAAAGAAGATCTCACTGAGACTCAATTGCATGACCAAAACTTCGCGAATTCAATACTTGGGCAGCTGAATCGTGGTCGAAACGATGCCATCTGCATTCGAGCACAAAAACACGTCTTTCCTGTCATCAATGCATACCGGCCGAACTGTCTCAAATTGGCCCATTCGAGTCGCGAGTTGTCATTTTACACAAACTACATTGGAAACACAGCTGGAAGTCAATTCTATAGATGGCATGGTGAGAAAGGAAACCCAAATTTGCCAATTGTTCGTCAACATTGGATGCAAGTACCCTCCACTTCCAGAGATTCGATGCAATATCGTTCATATCCTGCGCAGAGAAACTTCTCAAGTACAAAGGAGCTCGAGACAATCCTCAGTGTTGGTCTCATCGGAGAAGCAATGTGGGACAACGTGAACATTGCTAGCCATTAGAGCAAGGGCGTCATGCATATCGCCATCTTTGGTGAAAAGGATGTACTTGGCAATAGGATTTTCTGTGTTCTGGTTTCTAAGTCAACTACCCCACTTTCCGACCACCCCCTGTTTCCGACCACCTAAAAAATTCATATTATCTACACTTAAAACTTTAATAACTCAATAACTATTGAACTTCAATGAAATCGCCTGTAGAATCACTTTCTATAGCACTAGAGCTATCATCTACCTCATCTTCACGATCTCCAGCTTCAATTTGTGTACGCCTTATAGCTCTAATCCCTGCGAACTTCGAATTTGGAGATACCACAACCTTTCGCCTTTTTCTAGGTAATGCTTCATCTAATTGATATTCTAGCTTTCTAATCTTATTCTCTGCCTCTAAGGGTTCATAATCCTTAGCATCGAATCCTTTTATAATCTTGCGAAATAGTAATCTTCGTGTTGGCAAATCGATCTCCTTCTCTTGAATCATTATATCTCTATATTTTCTGATATCGGCTCCTTTTTGAGGGGTTTTCCATTGAATAAACGATGAATATATATTCCATTGAAGAATAGGATCATCATCAGATTCAGGATTAAGTGATAAAACCTCTCTATTGCTATTTTCAAGCAAAAGTCGACTCATAAGAGGTTTAGCCATATTTTTGGGCCAAAGACCACTAGCTTGCCACCCAGACTTGATATTTTGAATAGTTAAACCTTCTATTCTAGCCTTCTGATAGCAAGAAAGGAAATTGCGCTTTCCAATTGGTGAGGAATCGGATAATAGACTTAATTTATTAAGTTCGATTCGATATGCACTTTTTAGGGGTGAGAACACAGATAAATCGAGTGGTTGTAGTACGTGTGACGTATGTGGTGGGAGAAGTAAGAGATATATGTTGTTATTAAAGCATTCTAACATAAATGCTGTAGTTTCATGGCTTCCGTGTCCGTCCAAAATGAGGAGTCTTGAATTTTCCGGCTGAATAGGGGTAGTTTGAGGGATATAGATCTTTTTCAGCCATTCTAAAGCTGTAGCATCTGTAGTCCATCCATTTTCTGTAGCGGTAAAGTTCCAACCCTTGAATAGAGTCAAATCTGTTGGAAACCATTGTTGTTGAACTGATTTTCCCTTATATATTACAAGGGGAGTAATGCTTTTTCCATTGGCTGAAATGCATTCTATAAAAGAGGTCCAAATTCGAGATCCAGGTTGCTTTTTTTGAATAAATCTTCGATCAGTGCTTCCTACTACTAGTCCATTAAGACCCTGACCCTCCATTATACCTGCTTCATCCATATTCCATCTGTTGGCCGGCTTAATAGCCTTGATTTCAGGGATTGCGAGGTTCCGGAACCACTTCTTAATAATATCAGATGTAGCACCTGAAACTCGTGCAGAATCGATTTGATGTTGCTTCTTAGTTCCAATATTAGGATGCCTTCGAAAAAAGCTATGTATCCATTTCTTTCCAAGTGAGGGATCCTCCCCTCGTACAATAAGGAGGTGCTCTGCCATCTCTCTGATTTGACGATGTGTAGGGCTAGTACCAAGAGCTTCCTGTACTAATATCCATTCTGCTAGTCGATTCTCCTGAATTGGAGATAACTTTTGAAGTATTTGGGCGCCTTTTTGATGCGAAACTCCACCATATATTCGATCGTGAAGTGTGGTACGTGGAACACCATAATCCAAGCTAGCTCTTCGTATGCTTGCTCCATTTGTAATCGCTCTAAGAGCCTCTGCGATATCTTCTTCGGTATATCTATTCTTCATATCACAATTATAATAATATCAAAATTTCAAATCAATTGATTAAAGCATTGTTGAGTTATTCAAAGTATAAATTTTATAATTACTCAAAGCGGTGTGGTTTTTGAGGTGGTCGAAAAGAGGGGGTGGTCGGAAAGTGGGGTAGTTGACTTAAGCGCTAGTTTGAATATCAATTTCGATCAGAATCTACCGAATAACCCGCTTTTTTTATTATAACAGATTCTATAATGGTATGTTTTAGACCTAAAAAAGACAGATTCTTGTATTTCGTTTTCTTATTTATATATTGATTCTGATATAAAAGTTATAGAAATAAAAGTACGTAGAATATATACTACGTATATATATATATTTTTTTAAATAAAGGAAATTCGAATTTTCAATATATAAACATTTTAAGCTTATTATTGTCATTTGAATAATTAAATAAGCAATTGTAAAGATAATTTCAATTCAATTAAAACGAATATAAAGATAGTACTTAATTTAATTAAGATTAAATTCTAAACTCTAATTTAAAAAGAGTTTAAAGCTTTAGGTAATATACTCTATAATTCTAAATTATATTCATTAAAGCTTTAAACTACAAAAGCCTATAGGAATCTATAAATTCATAGATTTTTCATTTAATCATTATTTTGAATCTATGTTTTTATTTTCTTATACAAATAAATAAATTATTCAATAGATTATTTAGTATATTTTTTGAAAATTAAACTCTTAATTTATTTAATATATTAAATATATCAAAAACAGAATTATTTAATGGAATCTATAATTTAATATTCAAATAGAAATCAGGAATCCATTTTCAAAATGATCGGATTTGTGTATTCAAACTAGCCCTAAGAGCAACAAATTAACCATGCCAGCAACCCCTCCTGGCACAACACTCAAGGTTCAATTCATATCAAAGGCAGCCGAATCGAAAAGAAAGAAGCCTTTCGATGAATCATTGATCGAAGAAGAATATGATGTCGAGCATAATAGTGGTGTGGCCTACAGCATGAAGCGATTGACAATTAAGAATGAGGAGAGGGGCAAACAACCAGGCCAAAATGATGGCGAAGGAAAGACTACTCCGGCTGAAGCTTTCAAGAACAAAGGCAACGGCAACAAGTGGCAGAAACAACAGCCCAAGGGGAAGCCAATGAAGAAGGAACCAGCTTTTCCAATGTACAACTGCAGGGTCATTGAGCTTGCTAATTCTCCCGGAGATATCTGCATTGCTGTCAAGATTGCTGTTGGACGCAAGCCTTGTGGTAGGTACGGAAGTCAAAGTCTGTATCATCATGACGAGAAATGCTCTTCCTCAAATTCGACAGATGAAGCCAATCGATAGTATCTGCAAGGTACCTCATACTTATCATATGAAACATGAAATGTTGCAAGACTTGCTCCTCGGCGACGATATTTATACGGGCAAAGATTTGCTAGCACAATCTGTTCAGGATGACCAATTTTCAAGAATGAAAGATGTTGAAAAGCAAGCCTTCATTGACTTCCGTGACGCTTGTAACTTTTACGGACCTCAAAGAGTCTTTTGGCAAGGCGTCTTCGGCACTACCGAGTTCATGGGTATGTTACAAGGTCCACCGTAGCTTCAGCCACCCTTGGATTCACATTATTGAGAATCAAAACTCTCCTAACTGTACCTTCGAATACTGCTGCACAAGAGTGTATGAGAAAGTTGGTGGGTCACCTCAAGACTCTGTACGACGTCTATCCAGAATCGGAAGAGTGGTTCAAGGTAGTTTATCTACCAACTGAATCAGCAACTCGTCGCGATGTTTCGGAGCAGGACGAAATTGATGCCGAGACCGTTTCCAACATGGTTGCTGATGGAGAACAACGAACTGAAGATGCAAAACTCGAAAAGTACAAGCTCTGGAATCATATTGTCCAGGCCTACAAAAATGATGCTTCAGATAAGACGATACATCCAGCAGATGGACGCAAAAAGAACGCTCACATTTGGCTATCACGTCGCTCGCAAATCAAGGCTGGTAATAACATTGGATCAAAGGAGCAGAAGATCTTCATCGAACTCACAAATGCCATGACTAAGAGGATCTTCGAAGGTTCTGCCATTCGTATTGTAGTTTGTACATCCAATACCTCTGCTCTTCTGGAAGAATACAAGTGGACGCCGTGGGCAGTATTGATTGATGAGACTTCTGCTGGAAGAGAACCAGACTGTTATGTTCCCCTAGGCTTCAAGCCCAGGCGCATTGTGTTGGCTGGAGATCTTGAGAAAGTAAAGCTTTTTACCAGATCAGCCGGTCACAATGAGTTCGCAGACCAGCTCGGATTATCGCTCTACGAACGATTGTATGGAAAGCCAACCATGCCACTTTATCGATTAATTATCAAATACTTCATGCATCCCGATATTGCCGAACTTCCTGCCAATCTAACTTACGAATGGCTGGAGAGTGATGATTCAACGGTGGTACCTTCTGATGAGTTCAAGTTCTTTGAGGATTGGTGGTATTCAGAGCCAGCCAAGATTTATAGAGACAATCGTCGAAAGCCAGCATTTGGTCTCGATATTGATGAGTCTAGAATTCATCGCATGTACTTCAATGTCAAAAATGGAGAGTCTGCATCAAAACACGGGTCTTCATCTCAATTGAATCACGCCAACATCAATGCAATTGCGGATATGGTCATGAGTATCATGAAGCATCAACCAACTTGTGGTTTGGCACCATTACCATTTGACAAGATTAGTATCTTCACTCAATATAAAGTAGAGAATATGGAATTGGTGAATCAAGTTAAGATGGGAATTCGCCATGTATGAGGAGATACCGTTGGTTGATTTCCATTATTTACCACCATTGATAGTACTCAAAGTGGTCAAAATGAGGTCATTTTACTTTCTTTGACCCCAGCAAACAAGACTAATGGTTCAAAGATTGGTTTCTTGAAAGAATGGAATCGAATGAATGTAGCACTCACTCATGCACGTGCTCAATCGACTTTGATTATGTTTGGAAACCTCGATCTGTGGCGCAGTCAACTCCCGGGTCTCCTTAAAGGTATGAGATACAAGAAGCTTGGTCTCTTCATCATGGATCTTCTCGATTATGGTGAAAACATCGACATTGATGTTGATAATACTGTACCCGCAAGTCTGGAAGAGTTACCTGATCATAAGACTTGGTCCAAGACCATGATTTCGGTCCCTGCTGTTAATAGCAAGATCTTAAAAGCCTTCTATGCCATTAAATGTGAGTACGAGGATAAGGAAAAACTGGCCGAATTGGAGAAATTGCTCTGAACTAAAAATCGGAAGATTAGAGAGCACGGCAAGGCACAACGAGAGAATTTCAGACTTGGTGAGGCAATCGAAGCTCCTCTCAGAGTTCAACGAGACGGTGGAATGGATGGCGACGGAGAAGAGGTTGATTCCGACGATGATGACGAGGCACCTGAGGTCAAAGACAAGGATGGTGATTTGGACATGGACGCCAGTCGCATGTTGACCGAAGTAGAATTGGCTGAGATGGACCAGGCAGTGACCGAAAGCGTGTATTGACTTTAGATCAATCATTACATGTATCCAGATATTTCAGACTTTCCTGCAAGTTTAGCATACAAATCTGTAGATAATGACAATTCAATATTGATACCCTCTGATGGTAGTGATGTTCAAATGTAATTGGATTTAAGGGAGAAGGCTCTCATGTGGCATTAGCTAAACCACAGCCTCTGATTGTTCCCCATCGGCTCACATGATGGGCTTTCAATCTTCAATTCATTTCCAAACATTGAGTTTTCACATCTTATCCACCTCAAGACTGCAGGTGAAATGTATGTCCTCTTTGTATACCCCGCCTGCTTTGACAAGCTGTATTAGGTACTTCACCCGAAAGAGCTTTTAAGGTATAATAAGCATAGCCAACCTATAGAATAGTATTTTAATTGAATAGCATACAATGGTTCGAGATAGTCTACAGACTAGTAGGTGTATCATCAGGCTTGGGTATATAGATTCACTCTGCTTGTCTGTGTTGAACATATCTCTTGAACTGGTCCTCTCTGCCACATACGACCATAGACTGAAGAGTATTGGGCATCCCGTCCGCTCTGCCATACACAAGCTTCAGATCGGTGGATTAGTAGTTGGGTGGGTGACCACCAGCGAATCCCCACTGTTGTATGTTTTTTTTTTTTTGCGTTTTTTTGGTCTCGGGCCAACATGACACGATGATGTATGGATAACCTGAAGGATGCTCCGCCCAATGAATCATGAAGTACTGACAGCTTGCCAATGTCACTGATTTTTAAAGAATGGACCCCTAGTAGGTATTGGTGACCTGTAGTATGGTAGGTGTGAGTTTCCGATGGACAATCTTCTTTTTTAAGCGGACGATTTGATTTTGTACATCGTGTCTATGGATCTCGAAGGCGGGGCAGGGCGGCAATGAATTTTTGATGATAGAGGACAAGCCTAGAATAGGAATGAACCAAGGCACCAGTCATGAACTCTTGCTCCTCCATCATACCGATGACCTTCAGCTGTCCCACACTCCAGGGCCTAGAACCGAAAGCATTCAAGATGTGGTCTTGTGCTTCTAATCTGACAAACGAAAAAAAGGGGGATCGTCGCCTCGCGAAATTCATCGACCCCGCAATCTGGATAAAGGAGAACAAGAGGCGCGGTGGAATAAAGGGATTTTCTAAGCAAAGCTTGTATCAATCTATGAGCTTTTACTCTTCTCAGGATATGCGCATGCACTTCATGCCGAAGCTCATTTTTCATGTCTTTCAAAAAGCATATTGATGAAAGGTACCTGACTGCATCTGGCCGTTTTAGGGTTAAGTGGTGCATATCATCGCACCAGTATATTCTTGTGATCGTTCATGAAGGGTTCCTTTGTTGTGATCCCAGCTCATCATTAGAATCTTAGATTTTGTCTCTTATCTCGGTGTTTTAAAGACTACTTGGCAGGTACATTGTGTACATCTGTACAGAAAAACTTTGGTGGCATTGAGATACTCAAAGGCATTTAGATCTAGTCCAAAGTTTGTCTCCTTGTTAACTCATTATGGAAACAATGTAAAATCGTAACAAATAGAACAGCTTGATATATGGATGAGATCCAAGCTTGGCAATAGAACAATGTAAATTGATGTTTTTTGTTAATTATGAAAATAAAGTGATAAGATGATAAGATCGAGTCTCGAGTTTCGAATGTTTATTACAAGCATTCGACGGCGTCTAATCTGCTACACACCGCTTTGATCTAATTTGGCAGAAAAGTTGACCAAGAAAGATATCATTCCATCAATCCAGGACAATAACTCAAATGAAAAACTCTCCTCCACCTTTACGGTTAAACCCTATTCAATTTATATATAGGTCCTTGTGAGCCGGAGTATTATACTGTCTATAGGATTACGATACTTGTAGTGGTACCGACAACACTTCTCTCTCTTCTTTAACAACAAATTCTATAAACCCCGCACTCTCGAGAACTTAAAGTTCATCTAGATCCAAAAAAGAAGCAGAACCGGCGCATTTCACATAACGCCTCATCACAATGGCTACCGGTACCCTAGCCTGGGATCCTTTGTTGGAGAGCATGCAGATGCTGATGCTAACTCTGACACGGCAGACAATGAGAACCTCACAACCTTTTACATTGGACATCATGAGTCAAAACGACCTTTACCTGTCACAGAATTTGTTTTGCGACAAGCTGTTGATGTTGGAGTATGTACACACTCGAACGATTGAGACTTTTGCTAACCATTCTTTCTACTAGTATGATATGCTCACAAGTCCAATTACAAGTCCCCATTTTCATTCTAGAGTACTTTCATTGATTTCGAATCATATCGTCGAAATATCAGCTATCGATTCAAGTGATGCGCCAAACAAAGCTACCCCTCCAGCTCCCATTATTCCACCTCTCGATCCCGTCGATACACCATTTACACCTTCTGATACAGTTTCGCAACTTATCGCATATTCTAGTCCTTGGATAGATCTATGTTCCCCAGATCCTCTTGTCGCAAACATTTCTCGTCAAGTTTTGAATATCGAAATCGCATATGCTTCCTTCTGTGGAGTCGGTAATGTTATTATTCCAGGTCCAAGAACATACAATGGTGGATCAGGAAACAATGGGCTTGCTCAATATGCTCGTGCTATACAAGAGGCTCTCGCAATTGCCAATTATATCAACATCTCAATTCATATGCCTATGTATGGTGTCGAAGATAATGCGGAAATGACGGGTGATCTTTTACCATTTTCCAGATATCAATCAACAACAGATACATCAAAGAGTGAAAACGAAATTGATTTGTATGAGAATTGGGATGCTTGGAATTTGATTCGGGATGTATGTAAATACAATTCCAGACTTTCAGTAGGTAGGTTAATGAAAAAATATTCTATTTCTTCAATGTTTTCATATTTTTCGACCTGGGGCTCGTCAGATTGTGAGATCTCATTGGCATTGCTTGGTCCGTGAATGTAAATTATTTATGGCGTCGATAGCGACACTATGATCTTTGAGGCCGCTACTTCGGCTTCTAAACCGAATTTTCTTAAGAACAAACATAAGCTAATTAAAATTCTATAGCATTGGCACTTCCCCGTCAACTTCCTATTGAATCACTTCAATCTCGTTGGTTTGCTGAGCCCCTAAAACTGTTGACCTTTACTCAATCAACATTCTTGAAGAATAAAGGTGGACATCCAGTTTTGGGCAAGGCTCATCAAAATCTTCTCACCCGATATATGAAGCTTAAGAATCCACCATGGTTATTGTTATGTGATGTAGGACCAATTCCTGGTTTGGATGATCCAAATCAACAAATTTCAGTGGCAGATGGTTATGCATCACCAAGTGTTGTTCAAGATGCACCATCTCCAACTCCAGCCGAAGCGGAGCAAGCTAGAAGAAATAGCACCAAATCACAAACAAAATCAAAGGATGTTGCAGCTCACTTGATTTATCTGAGATATCTTCAGAGAAATCAACCAGAGCGAACTCCTATTGAAAAATTTGGATCAGGTTATCAAGATTACTTGCAAGCTCCTCTTCAACCATTAACAGATAATCTCGAATCTGTTACATATGAGGTTTTTGAAAAAGATCCTGTTAAATATGATTGGTATGAGCGAGCAATTGAACGAGCATTATCAGATTGGGTTTTACAAAAAAAACCTACATCAAGTCTTAGTGGTGCTGTTGTTCTTGCAGTAGCTGGTTCTGGACGTGGACCTTTGGTTTCTCGAGCTTTGAAGGCAAGTCAAACAACTGGCGTTCCAATTGAAGTATGGGCAGTGGAGAAGAATCCAAATGCATATGTCCTCCTTCAACGACATAATGAAAATGTCTGGAATGGAGTAGTCAATGTTGTAAAAACCGACATGCGTGCTTGGAAAGGTCCATTAAAGAATGCAGCTGGACCTATTGGTCAAGCCGTCACAACATCTTCAACGACTCCAGCAACTACCCACGGTAAAGTAGATATACTTGTCTCTGAACTTCTTGGTTCTTTTGCGGACAATGAATTATCACCTGAGTGTATAGATGGAGTCCAACATGTGTTAGCACCAGAAAACGGTATCTCAATACCCGCTTCATATACCGCTCATCTTACTCCAATCCTTGCTCCTCGTCTTCATGCCGATATCTCCAACAGATTCTCGGCAGATGAACATGCTACAGATACTCCATATGTAGTCATGTTTCACGCCATTGATTTCCTTGCCACTGCCGTCCCTGATCATCCTCAAATTCAACAAGCATGGGAATTTTCACATCCACTTCCTGTAAACACATTACACATTGCTGAAGCCAGAAGAGGCGGTGGTGTTAGTGGTGGTGGTGGTGGAAGTATGTCTGGAGGTGATGGTGCTAATGAACACAATACACGTTATGCACGTCTTAAGTTTGTTTGTAAAGATCGCGGTGTGGTCAATGGACTCGCCGGATATTTCGAAGCTGTTTTGTATGAAGGTGGAGCAAAAGCCGAAAATAAGGTCGAATTGAGTACGCGCCCTGATACAATTGATGCGAAGAGTAAAGATATGATTTCATGGTTTCCAATTTTCTTTCCTTTGAAGGTATGTATCTCCTTCCCTGAATATTATGGTCATGATTGATTAACATATCAATAGTCACCTCTATATATTCCTGATGATTCCGAGGTAGAAGTCAGTATTTGGAGACAAACTGACGATAGAAAAGTATGGTATGAATGGTTAGTTGAGGCGTTTGTTATGGTGGGACCTAATAAACGTTTGAGAGTGGGTTTGAGTGATGTAGGTAGTAGTCGATCAATTGGTTGTCTTATGTAAATAGGTTTTATATGAAAATGCATACCTAGGTATTCATCAATCAATTTATCATTGAAGCAAGAGGGCAATGAATATACTGTCCAATAAGTTGTCACTGTGCACATGTGCACATAAATTAGGCCTCAATAGAAATGTACCATGACTTGTTTAAGATCTTATAACCATAAGCTTGCTTTGATTTGCTTGAACAACGCCGTCCTTGAGTAAATCATTGTAGGTATAGGTAATTTTCTCCTCTCCTACTTCTCCTGCTCAATGGAAGTGAGATGTTCCTACATTCTGGCATATCTGCCATACGATGCTCTCCGCATTCCATTCAGATTTTCCTCTCATACTAGGTATCTATCAAATTTCCCATTGGACCTCTCTTGCTTTCCTCTCCTTTCAGTCCATTATGGTTTCCACATCCATCTGTCCATTTGTCAAGTCGCAAGTTCACAGAATCATCCCTCCATCTTCGTATCATCTTCTTCCTTCTTGACTTGTGCGGCTGATATGTAAAGGACGTTGTTGCATCTATTTTGATGTTAGATTTTGCGCATTCGATTTTTATTTCGATTTCAATCTAATGAGCATTTCCAATTCGAAGCGCAGTGCAATGCCGTGCCGCTGAGTGCCTTGCAGTCCATCAATTCCAACACCCAGCATCAACGGGCCAAGCTCTTCGAAAAACCTCAAATATAAAAGGAATAAACAAACCTTATTAAGACCTGACCCAAAGTACTCGTCATTTCCGAATCAATCCATTCCTCGGCACCGGATAATTGAATATTCATATAACTGTCGATACTAACAAGCTTGCCTTTATATTCTGTTTGACCGCCCCATTTCAGACGAATAATTACTTCTTCGTTGACGCTACATCGTGGATTAGTATATGAATATTGGTATGTATGTGCGAAAGGAAGTTGGTGAGAATTCAAGCTCGATTGAGGAGGGATAGCTAGTACGTACAGGTTTTGAAGGAACGGACGGGGGTTAATTGGTACGAACTAAATGAGAATTAGGAATTTGGTATTGAAGAGGGGAGAGATGACTTACACTCATGATGTGAGCTGGAGATTGAAATGAATGGGTGGTGGAGGGACGCGGATTGAAGATGGTCGCGTCGGATGTGAGGTTGCTGTTGAATGCTACTCGTTGGCTAGGCTGGCGTCGCTGGGGAAATTTTCTAAGCGAAGCGCAAGGCTGAGGTTTTGATGAGGCTGGTGATTATTAGGTGAATGATCTGAGCATCAATGTCAATGGAAATTTATTTATGAAAATGACCAAGAAGTTACTTAGATTATGGTTGGAGACCTCGGGAGTTATTTTACGATACTTGAAAGAAGTTCATATTAAATGCTGATCCAAGTCGTTCATATATGTATCAAATATTCTCATTGCTTCAGCACCATATTCCCGAGTAAAATCAGACCAGGTGACTTCATAACCAAATCATTCATAACATTCATACTTGATCCTTTTGGCATCTATTCATGAATTCGTCTCATCTCATCTCGTCTCAATTTCTCCTAATTTCCCATTTCAAGTCCTTGATACTAACTTCCTCTCCTGCTTTATCGTCATAATCATACCATTCTCCATCATTCAAATCGATAGCAGTAAATTTGGTACCACTATCAGTTCCAACAGCCAACCAATCTCCCTACAAGAAACGGATATATGAGATCCAAATATCGACTAACATGTGAAAGAAATGCTTACCTCTGGTTTGAATTCTACCAACTCAAGACCTCGACAATCAAATTCTAAAATCTTTTGACGAGTTGGTGGAGAAGCTGCTTGATATGGAACTGGTGTTGATATAACTGATGCAGATGATTCTTTCTACATATGAAATCAGTACTGCTGTTTCATAGTATATTGATAATAAAACTACACACCTTGCAAAATTTGCACTTCCATACAAAGTTTGCCTCTCCTCTACTACCACTCATATCATTTGCTTCCTAATAGGCGTGTTAGTATCTGAAGGATAGAAGAATTCAGACCCTCGCTATCCTTGACTTGACTTACAAATCTATTGATATTTATGAAGTTGGGATGAATTTCTCTGCATGATACACATTGTACTTTGAAAGTATACCAGAAGTTCTTCTCTGCGCTGTCATCGGGGACAAGTTCATTCACACTATACAGTGAAATGTTAGCTCTTGTATATCTCGAGGTTCCTGTATATACTGACCCAGAGAGGTCTGCAGTAAGTGTCAAGGTAAGCATCGTGAGTTTCGTGAATTTCGTGATCTGAGTTATATATGTATTTATTTGATCTTATTGTTACAATTCAAGTATGAAAATCATGGAGGGGCATAATGAAGAGGGGTTACCTACTAGTTAGGTAGTTTGTCCTACAAATTCAATCGGTTAAAGCGGCCGCCCAACTGTGAAAGTCATCCGATAAGTTTTGATAGACATCAATTTATTTTACAATAACTTAGCGCAAAAAGTTGAAACTTCCCCATCCTTCAATGGCACGACTGACGAGTCCAGTAAGCTGAAAATCCATAAATCGACAAGTATGCAAATATAATGCAAAGTTTATGGTTCCGCGCTGCGCAGACCAGATCATCATGTCGTTGTAACGCTTGTGTGAAAATCGGCACAATCATAACTCGTCAAACTACAAATGCAATTGGGAAACGTCGAAGGGTTAGCATAGGAGATATATTTACGGCATGTTATTCAACAATACTCGCAACTGCTGCAGTGGCAGATTCAAATCGAAAAGTTCGACGAAGGGAACAATGGGATCGAGTCATTGCAGAAGCGAAGGCGGGAGTTCCTATCGACAAAGTGGAGGAATTGCAGGATCGTCAAGTAGAAGGAAATGCAGGTGAAGTTAGGAATCAGATGCCAGGAATGCCAGGAGAGTCAGGAACATCTGGAAATTCAGGAACGTTAGGAGTTCCAGGAACGTCAAGGTTACCCGGATATTTGGGGAATCAATTTTCTTTCCCAAGAACTGGAATTATTGGTACAAAGGCTGGATCTACAGGACCTATGACCTGGGATGGAGTCAAATGGACGGCGAACTCTTCCATGAGTCGATTGGGAACTCAACTCAATAACATACCCTCGAATGTGTCGAGGTCTGCCGAGACCACGGTACCAGAAAGTTCACAGGATCTCGTCCCCCAATCTACCGCTTCACCTGTTCAGCCTACCACTTCCCCCGTTCAGTCAGCCACGCCAGAACATATCACAAACCTAGAACAGTTCGGCGAATATATACCTTCAAACGCTATGCTTCAACCACGCAAAGTCAAAACTCGAAAACACTTGGACCGATTAGAAAACTCGATTTCAAAGCTAGTTCATCGACTCATGTGGACCACCAAGCTCTCTCCTATGGCAGCGGATTTACACTCGGCGTCATCTGGCATCTTTCTCCAGACCGATAAAATGATAGGAAGAGTTGAAGAATTACAACGGGGTGATATTAGCATGCCAGCATATCAATTGGAAGCCGAAGTCGGTCAAGAAAGATTTCAATTACATGATGCCCTGGAAAATCTCCTCAAAAATACATCTCCGGGTCAGGATAATCTCAATCTAATTCTAACCAAGATATGTTACAATCTTCTCATAAGTTCCGCGTCGCCAAACATCTTTACGTATAACTTTTTAATCGAGAAATTGACCGAATTGATGCTTCATGACCACGCTCAAGTAATTGTTGATTCATTTCTCTACGATACAATGTTCAAACCTACTTCAAGGACCATTCAGGTTATTTTGAATCATTATGCAGCCAAGAATGATTTAGAAGGTTATCGAAGCATTATTAGGCGTATGAGAGCGGTGGATGGGAGTATGAGAATTGCACGGAGACATGAGAATCAATTATTGGACAATCCACGTGTTTTGAGTTGGGCCGAGAAACATGCTCAAAGACTGACCTTGAGAGGAGGTTGGCTCGAACGAAAAGTACCACGAGATGAATCTATATTCGATGCTCTTATTGGGACGAGTCTTCAAATGACCACTGCTCGACAATCGATCATGTATATTCGAGCAGCTTTACGTCAAGACAAGAAAATTAAGATTCGACCAGAGTTACTTTGTGAGGCAGTGAGAAGTTGTGTAGCTCAACTAGATCATGCTGCTGGAGCGTCACTTTTACATTCTATATTAGAGACGTGGGCCGAAAATATAGAAGTACCTGATCGCATTCCACTCACCAAAACTACACGGTGGGCCATAAGAGAACTTATTTATCTTTGTGGAATTGACCCGACCAAAGATTTACCGAGCATTTTACCAATAGATATTCCTAGGTGGAATTTGGGAAGACTTTTATTCTGGTTGAACCTTGGTTCGATACGTGATTCCGTTGAACGCTTTGTTGCACGCATAAATGCCTTGCAGGACATTCTTCACATATCCTCAAAAAAATCCAATCATAACGTCAAAAAGGAATCTCACCTTAACTTCCCCGAATTTGGGAATACACAAGCTTGGGATTATCTTCCAACGAAAAAAACTCGGAACCGGCCATCTTCTCATTCTAGCATCGACCGTTCCCTCGAAATTTTCGAAAAGTTCACATATACAGAGAACGCACGAGCAGATAAATCGAAACAAGGATCCCTTCAAGGTAGAAGAGTGATGCTTCAAAGCTTGGAATCTAAGATTGCATTGTCAAGCGCAAACATCCATTCGACTGAGATGTCTATAGTTTCCTTTTACTACAATCAATTCCCTCGAGATTGGAGATATACATATCATCTCAGATTACAGGAATCTCCACACATGTCATTGGGACATAGAATTATTGTTCTCAAGGGATTAAAACGACTTCAAAAACTGCATATATTCGAATACCAGCTAAATTTGAGCTTACGACAAATCAATCTCTTGAAGAAGGAGATAGACTATATTATGAATGAAAGAGAGCAGCGCATAATGGATCTTTTTGCCAAGGTTAATCATAGTGCCAAACAAGTCAAACAAATCGCATGGCATTTACATGTCATGAAACGGAGCATCAAATCGAAAGCGGAATTCCTTCGGTTGAAAGAATCACGAGAAATCAATCAACGAATCAATCTTCTCGAACTCGCGATTCATATGACTAAACGGCATATCAATCTTCTAGAACGGGATCTCAGCTTGGATTTTCCACAAGTAAATCCTGAGTGGAAGTTACGAGAATTGAACTTGGTCTTGTTCAAGGTCAATAAGGGGAAACAACAAGTTAAACTTTTGGCTGAAGAGATTTACCTCACCTATCCTCCTCAAGTGGCCAGAAAGACTTATGCCCGCTCGAATTGTGAATGGAAGGTGCTTCGGAAATACCGCACAAAACTTTCTTTTCATTATGAATCCCCAGTTGATAAACTCTTACCAGGCGAAGAACATGGAGAGCATTAAGAGTATCAGGTGACATGAGAGCTGACGATAGCTGTCAATGAAAATTATGATTCATTTCATGCAACCGGCACAGTGTTTATCGAATGCGACAAAAATCACCACCTGAAACACTTGGATTGTATGAAGATTGGTTTCGATCGAAAAAAGGTTTGGTGCACCTGATGTATTATGGTGGAAGTACCTAGGTATACATAGTTGGGCTAGAACTTGATGTGAATTTATGAGATACCTACATAGAGTGGCGTTTACATTAGATATAAAATGGTTATTGGTATAAGTGCATAACAAGGAGTTTTGGAGTTTCTACATGTGGCCGATGGTCAAGAGAGAATGGCAGATTGGTGCATGATTGGACCTGGGAATGGTCAATTTGCATATGTATAACAGATAGACGAATACAAAATCTGTACAAATGATATCTCCACCTTATTCAACAGTTTAGAATTCTTGCAAAATATATTTATTGTTATCTAAATTGATGTTTTGGAATTGTCGCTTGCAACGATGTTCATTTCCAATCAATTTAATCTCTGTTGCTCAATACCATATACTTCTAGTTCTATGATGGGGTATCTCGTCTTTTCCTTCCAATTCCCGTTCCTTCATTGTATCGTAAAGAAAGAAATCGATCAAAATAGCATTTACTTTTGCTTCTGGATGATTCTTCAATATCTCTCTTCGAATCAATTCTACACACCATATACTACAACCTATTATTCATCATGTTAGATTAATACTTTAAGTTCCCTTCACATCAAAAACAAAGGAATGGGAAGTAGGAAAAGAAGAAGAAGAAGAAGAGAAGAGAAGAGAGGGAAAGAAAAGAAAATCATGAAACCTTACCTCTCAACTGCACCTCCCAAGTATGTCCACTGTCAATCACTTCTCCTCTCCTAATATTACTCTCCAAAGCCGGTGCATACCATAAACATCCCAACGTATTCAACAACTGTGGAATACGATAATCGGCAAACATGGTAAGTTTATCGATATCATGAAATTCACCCCAACTTTCCCCATCAAACGCTGCCCATAAATCCGCTACACAAATTTGTGCACGTTTGAGCAATCGTACTTCCTTCCGCTTCTCAAAGGAAACCACATCATTGAAACAAGGAAATGAACCCGCGAGAAGATTTACAAGCGCAGCTGCAGAGTGCTTAGATTCCTTTATGCAATTTGTGAAAGAACAATTGTATTTCTCATAGAGAATAGTTCCCGCTTCACGAAGGAGTGAGAGACGTGTTGTGAGAAGTGGCATGGGTTCCGCCGTACATGAACGAAAAATATGTGCGAATACTTCTTCGGTGAGTTCATTCGCATCTTGCCAATAACACGAACTGGTAATAGGGTATCCTTCTTCTAAACCTCTTTGTAATGCAGCTACTAAACTCCAATATCCGGTCCACTTCTTTCCTTTGTATTCTACTGCAAATCTTTCTTCTTCATTTTGCAGACTCCAGAATGAAAAATTGAGTAAATCCATGGTGAAGATAAAGTTCACAGTACTCTCGTCTTTGGCTTGGGGATGTAAGTCATGTGATGACCATGTTTTGGTCGAGTAGGATTTCGTTTGCATTTGGGAATAGATGGATGCGGCGGCGGCTTTGGTGGATGCCATATCCAGAGCTACATCGATGGAATTGTTGTATATGTATTCTGCGCTTTCGAGAACGCGGGTTTCGGGGACATCTGGGGTGGTGGGTTTGCGGAAATGTTGACGGAGGAGCTCGAGGAGCTCGGGATCGGCTTCGTCGTCGGACATGGTGGATAGGGGTTTGAATATGGAATTTGGTGGACCTTTGGGGGTCAATGGTGGAAGTTTGAGTGTTCAATGATGTGGTTGTGATGCTCTAATATTGCAATATAGAGATGCTTTGGAGGTGGACTCGGCGGGGTTTGTATGGACTGTAAATTTCATCGGTTTTAGATGAAGTGTGGGTATAGAAGGTACAGGGAGGAACGACTGTGAGGGAATGCTGGGTAAAATTCTTGAATTTCTTTTTATATTGTGATTAACCTATACTATGAAACTATCTGCCTACATACCTACATACCTACTAGTATAATGCATAAATAATTGAGTTACAATTTCAGCTTATGCTTGTCTATTTCCTACCTAATAATAAACACTCAGACTTCAAAATGAGAGCATTGTGTATCTACCTGCCTCGCCTGCCTACCTACCTGCCAGTAGTACATACTCTCGCAGTCTATGAAAAAACCAAACAAACCTCCAAACCTCCAAACCTCCAAACCTCTCTCCGCTCCTACCACCCCGAGCATCCAAACGATGAGAAGCATGCTTACATAATCACGCGCCCTTTCCACCTTTATCAACGCGATGGCGGATTTCCCATTAGTTAGTAAAATCGATAGCTTAGCAAAATAATAAGCAGAGCCTCAGGAACCATCTCAATCGCTGATGATCAACTTGGGATTCCTATTCACATAAACTCAACCTTGATTTTGGTCGTCAATCTACATCTTGCGCGGTCGCAAAATATCAACGCATGAATTACTCAACATGATGCGCGATCAATTCAACATGCAGTCACTGGGGAAACCTTTGAATATTATGGTCAAGGAGGTAAGCGTACAAAGTTTACAATATCCTATGCTTTGGAGGGCGAGAAGTTCTTTAGATTTTGTTTCATTTTCTCTTGCTTTTATGCTTCTTCCTGCTGAATTTGGATATATTACGGTCGAAGATCCAATTTGCAAAATTATAAACCCAATGTCGTTGGAATTCTGTTTGTTCCAACCAACTGTTTCTGCGAATTTCCTACCTTTGCGGAAACCCATTGAGAATGAATCTCCTTGCTAAACTATTCAAATAGGCCCGGATATTGATGGTAGGAGCTGGAGGAATTGGATGTGAATTACTTAAGAACTTGGTTTTGGCTGGTTTTGGAGAAATTCACATTGTAGACCTGGATACCATCGATCTCAGCAATTTAAATCGACAATTCCTATTCCGTCATGAACACATTAAGAAATCAAAGGCTTTGGTAGGTTATCTATTTATGGCAGAGTTTGGATATGTGCTGATGAGAAATTTACAGGTTGCGAAAGATGCGGCGCATAAGTTCAACCCGAAAGTCAAACTAGAAGCACATCATGCGAATATCAAGGATTCACAATTCAATGTGGATTGTTTCAAGGGTTTTACAATGGTCTTTAATGCTTTGGATAATCTGGAAGCCAGGAGACATGTAAACAAGATGTGTTTGGCAGCGGGTGTACCTTTAATCGAATCGGGTACAACCGGTTTCAATGGACAAGTTCAGGTTATTAAGAAAGGAAAGACGGCATGTTATGATTGCACAACAAAAGAGACACCAAAGAGTTTTCCAGTTTGTACTATTCGCAGTACGCCAAGTCAACCAATTCATTGTATAGTTTGGGGAAAGAGCTATTTATTGAGGTACGTCTGGTCCTGGCGATCGAGCGGAAAGGAAGTTTTGCTAAATTCTTCAAAGTGAGGTATTTGGTGCTAGTGAGGATGAATCAACTGAGATGGATCATTCGGAAGATTCAGAGAATGGTATGTTCCTCGAGCCTTTATTGCTCCATAATATACTGAAGTATTTTACTAATCTTGAATAGCCAAGGAGATTGAAAAGTTGCGGTTAGAGTCTCAAGCTTTAAAGAAGATCAAAGAATCAATGGGTACCGATGCATTTCCTCAATTACTTTTCGATAAGGTCTTCAAGGATGATATCATTCGTTTAAGATCCATGGAGGATATGTGGAAATCTAGACGACCACCTGAGGCATTGGATTATACCACCTTGATTGTAGAAGCTGGAAATGATGAAGCCGCCAAGCAAGCTATACTCAAAGATGATCAAAGAGTTTGGAATTTACATGAAAATCTCATCGTTTTCAAAGATAGGTTAGTATTTCCCTTCATTTTCAAAAAAAAAAACAATTTTGACTTTATTAGTTTGGAACGATTGAGTAAGAGATTACAAGAAATGAAGTCCAACTCGAATGCTGCCAATTCCGTAGAACCAATAATTACATTTGACAAAGATGATGAGGATACTTTGGACTTTGTCACCGCAAGCGCCAATTTGAGATCTATCGTCTTTGGTATCGAAACTAAATCTCGATTTGATATCAAACAAATGGCCGGCAATATTATCCCCGCTATTGCGACTACCAATGCAATTGTAGCAGGTCTTTGTGTTTTACAATCATTCAAAGTACTTCGTGGTGATTACTCAAGTAGTAAAGAGGTATGTCATACTTTTATGGTTCGGGTGATTGAAATGCATACTTACATGAATAGATTTTCCTTTCTCCATTTGCTCCAGAAAGATTACTTTCCTCTGACAAATACCGAGAACCAAACCCAGACTGTCCTGTATGCAGTGTAGCACAATCTCGTTTATTGGTTGATATGTCAAGAGCTACACTTAATGATCTTGTCGAGGGTTTCTTGAAACTTCAACTTGGATATGGAGAGGAAATTGTGGTCAATAATGAAAGTGGATTACTTTATGATGTTGAGGAAACGGAGAACTTGGATAAAAAACTTAGTGAACTTGGTAAATTCTTGTTGTCGGAAACACGTGTATGAATGTGATCAACTAACAAAATCTATAGGTATTAAAGGAGATACATTCTTGACAGTTATTGATGAAGATGATGAAAATCCAAAGGGTCCTAGAGTTAATCTCGTACTTAATGTACAAGAATCGTAAGTCTTAGACATTTCATGTTTTTTCTCTTCGTGTTCTTCATATTCTAACATTCATGACAGTGAGACCCCAATGGAAGATTCTCCCATCAAAAGTCTCGATATTAACGTCAACTCCTCCATCCCTACTGTTCCTATTATCTCCGAAGAATCTACCGCTACATCCCCTGAATCACCAATTCCACGTCGTAAGAAACCTATCCCAGAACCTGAATTTAAAGAGACAACAAATGGTCGTGCAAAATCTCCCACTGGAGAAGTTCTTCAAAATGGTAATTCCAATGGTGTCAAAAAGAGATCTGCATCTGATGCATTGGAACACGATCCTTCCTCAAATTCAAAGCGTTCCAAGATGGAACCACCCGGTGCAGCTGGTTTGTCAATGACAACTTTGAATGATGGTATCATAGTATTGGATGATACAAATGATGGAGCTATTTTAATTGATGATGATTAGATGCTTATTCGCATTCCAATCTATTTTTTATTTATTTTTTTGAACAATCCCATCATGACCTATCCAATTCCTATCTCCCACACTCGAACGACGTCCCTCCTCGAACAAGCCATCCCCGAATCTCGACTCAACAAATGTCTTTCATCCCTTCTCTATGGAAAAAATCATACGGCGCTCAATCCTCCATCAAGATTAAGCACACAATTGTTTGCATACTTATTGGTTGCTAAAAAGACGGCGGCATCGGCTATTTCGGCTACATCTCCAAAACGTGATAGAGGAATGGAGTTTAATGCTTCTGAACGGGCAGGATCTGACATTGCTTTGAATGAGGTTGTTAGTTTACTTTCTTTGATCTTTTTGATTTTTTGATTGCGATTTTAAGAATGCGAAATGAAAAATGTAAGATGATCTTGTGTATATTAGGTTTGGAGAGGTGGAGAGGAGATAAGATTTTATTTGGAATTTAGAGGTAAGAAGCGAGAAATAAATTGGTGAAATATGAGGTTTTATAAGGGTTGAAAAAAAAACAAGGGTGGACATGAAGATAAAAATGGTTTTGGGGTGGTAAATAAGAAATTCAAATGAATGTGGACATGAAAGGGAAGGGGGGGAGAGTTTATGAATAGAATACCAGAATACAGAATAGCGTAGCGGGGGCATAAACAAAACAAGAAATATAATTAATGGAATAAAAATGAAGATGGTTTATTTTGATGTGGGATTTTGTGAGGTGTGATGTAAGGCGATGTGGAAGATGGTAGATGGAGATAGGTAGGAAGGGGGAATGTGATTGCGAGAGTGAGGGAAAGATGAAGAGTGAGAATAACAGGAAGGGCAGGAGGGGAAGAAGAAGATGGAGGGAAGAATGAAAAATGAAAGATAAACTTACCCCTCGTCATATCCGTCTCGATATAGCCGGGTACAATGGCGTTGACTCGGATTCCTGCAGAACCCATTTCGGCGGCTAGGGCGCGGGTGAGACCTTTTGATTGGGGATGTTTAGTCGGAGTTTTTTGAATTGGGTGGGGAGGTGAGGGGTGAGGAGAGGGTGAGAAGCTGAAGGGGTGAGAAAAACAAGGGAGATGAGAAGGGGCAAGGGAAATGAGAAGAGGAAGGGGAGATGGGAAGGGAAGAGAAAAGGAAAAGGAAATACATACCAAGAACCCCCGCTTTACTTGCTGCATACGCGGCACTACCTCTTCCACCTTTGACACCGAGGAGCGAGGAAATGTTTATTATACAACCTGTTTGTTTGGTCCGATTAGTGGTTTAACTCTATGATTCATTTTGTGAGGGGAGATAGTTTGATGTTGTATGGAAATTTGCTTCTTTTGGGTTTGTATAAGGAGAGGGGAGAGGAAAAGGAACGGGGGTTAGGGGAGAAAAAGGAAGGAAAGGAAGAAGGAAAAGAAAGAAAAGAGAAAGAAAAAAACATACCCTCCCTCCGTCTCAACATCTCTTTTCCGATAATTTTACATCCCCAGATTGTACCCATTAAATTTGTTTGGAGAACATTTTCGATGAGGGAGGGGGAGGTGATTATGAGGGGAGAGGCGTGGGTTAGACCGGCGGCGTTGATGAGGATGTCGATTTTGGGTTTGGGGTTGGGATTGGAGTTCTGAGGAAGGGGAGGGAGGGTGTTAGTTGTGGTTGTGGGAGGGAAGGAAAGGAAAGGGAGGGACACAAAAGGGAAATGCTGGTGAGGAGAACGGAATGGGGTAGGAATGGGAATAGTGACGGAGCGAGGAAATTGAACAAGGCGAAATGAGGAGATTTCGAGATGAATTAGTTTAGAAGAGCCCAACTCCAAAAAGCTCCAGAGGCGCAGAGGAAAAGTAGAAAGGAACTTTCCTCACTACTATTTCTCCAAGCTAACCACACATCACCCCTTTCACATCTCTCTCCACTTCCCCTCAATCCGCACCTCTAGAAACCACAGCACCCAAAATCCCAAATCCCCAGAATCAAAAACGAAAATTCAAAGCACAAAAAAGAAACTCAAACTCACCCCTTTCCCCTCAGCCACTCTCTTACCCCTCCCAAATTCTCCCTCCCAAAACTCCCTTTCCCCCACATCACCACAAACGGCCATCCAGTCCCCCTCTTCTCCTTCCTTTCCATCCTCCCCTCTTCCCTTAATCATCTCTCTCCTCACCCCCTCCAAGCCCTCCCGGTTCCTCCCCACCAATACCAACTTTCCCCCCAACTCTCCAAATTTTTGCGCAATTGCTTTCCCAATCCCGCGGGTTGCACCGGTTACTAATATCGTTTTGTTTGTGAAGGGGAGGTTTGTGTTTGTGTTTGCGTTTGATTTTTCTCCGGTCGAGGTTGGTGATGGGGATGATGGTGATGGTGATGAAGCAGATGAAGAAGCATATGAAGAAGAGTGAAATCCTCTCGATCCCTCAGAGAACCTAACGGAAGGAAAAGAGACCATCGATTCCAATCTCAATGACATCTTCACGCCACCCACCCTCTTTATTCTCCCAGACCCAGGCCCATACCCTCTCATTTTTCCCATTCCCATTCCCATTCCCACTCCCACTCCCACAATCGTTCCGAGAGTTTTCTTCGGCATCTTCATTCCCATATTCATTTTTCCACCCGCGCCCAAAACTAAAATTCCACAATCCTCGCCCCTCACTCAATCCTCTCTTATCAAATAAAATGCCCAATCAACCAATCAATCATTCAACTAAATCAATCCTCCCAATCTCACCCAAATCTACCTCACCCTATATACCTTCACAATCACCCGTAAGAGATTTCTCTTTCTCTTTTTCCTCTTCCCTATCCCTTTCCTATCCTATCCTATCCTTATCTCTACACAAATTATTCGTATGAAAACGTGAACAACAATATCCGGAAAGACCAGTGCAGCGGGATTAAAAGTTTATGTAAAATCTAAGCTGGGTCTTTAACTTCGATACTTCGAATTGATCGTGTATGGAGGCTTCTAAGAGAGGAAAGATGGAGTTTAGGGATGGGAATGATGCAGATCACGTGTCAGAGCTTGTTTCTAGCTCGCCGGACTCGACAACACTAAAAAGTTTGATAAGTCAAATTAAGGCTACCTAGGTGTTGATGATTGAAGCGTATTTGTTTCAAATAAGACCAGAAATTATGTTCATCTATGATCATTCAGGCACGTTGAATTACGCATCTATGATTCATTCGAGTAGGCTATATACCATTCTATTTTTTCACCATACCATTCATCAAAAATCACAATCACATCATTAAAACTATAAAATGGTCACAATTACGAGTATCTATTTGTTAATTTCTTAAGCAAGCTTTGTACGCCATTGTGCTACCTTTGCTTGGAATAACCAAACAAAAATGCCCTCGAAGAAGAATGTCAAAAATGTTCATATCTCATCTCTTCCCAAATTTAACCACTGAATTCCTTAATCTTACTCTCTGCAAGACGTCCTGGAACCAAAGCCAAAGGAACGATACCACTAACATGCATATCTGGTCCATAAACGTGCATATCAAGCTTCAACTCTTGTCCAACTGCCTTGATGTTCTTTAATCCTTCTTGGTAGTTAGGTCCAGCACGTCTAACCCAGATTTGAACCTTGTGCTCAATCAATAAGTTGCTAACTTCTCTAAGGGCACGAATAACACCCTTGAATGTGGAAGCGACATTGGTGAAATTGGCAATACCACCACCAATGAAAAGAACCTTGCCTTCTGGGGTAGGTGGTGAACGAAGCATGAGGTCAAGGACAGTGCGGGCGTAGTGAAAAGTTTGGGTTTCAGTTGGTGCACCAGAGTATTCACCATAATTGGCAAGCTCATCAGCAAATCCAGAACTGGCGATAGCATCGGCATAAACGACGGAAGCACCACCACCAGCAACCAAAGTCCAAACTCTACCGTTGGCATTCAAAACTGTAAGCTTGAGGGAAGCACCAGTCTTTGCGTCAAGTTCAGCAATGTATGCTTCCTCCTTGGTCAATTCACGACCGAATGGAGCTGGGAACTCCATTGGTGGACCAGCATCGATGTTAACCTTTCCATCAGCTGCCTTAACAGCGGCCATACCAAGAGCAGCAGGTGAACGTGCAATAGCCCATTTAACACCACACTCAAACTCGGCAGTTTGGTCAATCTTAGCAGCCAAATCCAAGAAGTGTACTTCAGCAGAGGTACCTTCAGCGTTAGGAATGACAACCAATGGGTTAATCTCAAGGTATGTGAATTGACAGTCGACGTAAACAGCATATAATCTGGTGATGAAGTCGACGAGAACGTTGTGTACACCTTCTGGAACCTTCTTGAGAAGGCCTGCAGCGATTTCTTCATTTGAAGGGTATTCTGAAAGATCGACTGGAATCAACAATTTTTCGGCCTTTGCATCGACATCACCAACATCGACACCTCCCTCGTGTGTGAAAAGAATCCAATCACCCTAAAAATGAATATCGTTAACACGTGGATTTATGTTGTGAGCATGTACATAACGCTACGAAACTATGAAAATTGTGCGAGTGAAAGTAGCATAAATAACGAAAGGCGGCGGGTCTTTCGAATCAATCTGCCGGACTCGAACTCGCTTGCTTTGAGAAATTGATAAGGAGAGTTATGGACCAGGGGGGAGGTTTGGAATCGGTTCCTTAGCTTCCTTTCGTCCGTTTGTGCCTCCGAACCATTGGTAAATGAGAGGCAATAAAGAACCGCTGGATCCCACTGCAAACGTTGGAATATTGAAAACTTGTATAAACTCAAAATCTTTACTTTTCGATATTTACTTAAATATCGTTTCATTTGTTGTTCCGACTCAAGATTTGCTGCAAACTCGAGATTCCCTATTACGAAATCTACCCTTCAAAAGTGGGAAAATGAAAATAGTACATACCTCTCTTTGGGAGTTGATGTTGATATAATATTCGGTTCCTTCTGGATGTGGTACAAATGGCTCTACCAAAAATTGACGGAGAGTTCCAACGGTGGTCTCAACTGTGACTGGCTTTCCTGCTCTCTCGGCAATCCATGCTTTTGCTTCTGGCCAAGTCTTGTTCAATGCAAGAAGACCACTCTTGCCTCTTCTCTTAATCAATTGATCAGGCTTTGCGACGAATTTGGAGCCTGGAACAAGGAGCCATGGGTATAGGGTTTCTGCTTGATCGAGGATTGATGAGACCTCAGCGTCGACTGGGAAATATAAAGAAGCAAGCTTCGAAGGAGGGTTGTGAGTGGCAGATTTTGGGAGAGGAGATGGCTTGATAACAGGAGCTCTGGTGAGGTGATAGTTGAGGATGGCCTTTCCGTCGGCCTCGGTGATTGCTTTGGCAGACATTTTGAAGTATGAAAATTGATGAGTTTACTGTTAAAATTCCAAATTAGCATAAAAGGTCCTGGGGATTTCTAATGACATGAAGTTGATAGGAAATTTCCAGATTTTCAAAAGCTGCAGATTGGTGCTTTACAAGCCTCGACAACTGTAAGCCCCGAATCCTCAAATGGGCAAGTACACATCTCCAACCGCGATTGGAGGGCTAGATGATCGAAAAACTCAACACCATGCAGATCATGCCAACTCACAACACTTGAACAACAGACTTTCAGCTTAATGAGCCAAGTCGGTGAGATAGAGTTCAATAGTCCAGTCCTTTGACTCGGAATCCGAGTCTCGGATAGCAAAACAGCGGGCACCGAGAAGACAATTCTACTTGTTGCGATATGAAGCCGCTCCAAAATGAAAAGTAAACACAGGAGGGGGAGCAAGTAAGAATATACGTACCAAAGGGGTATCCTATCGGTGGAATGTAAGAAAAATGGTCAAGTAATCAAGACCACGAAGATTTCAATTCTTTTCGAAGAGAGGGAAACGAAATTAAAATGGAAGGATGGAATCTATATTCTATCTTTCTAAAGTTTCCTTTCTGTCTCGCGAAGGGGGAAGATGTTGGAAATGAATCGGAGATTCTTAGTTCTTTTTGGAGAATGAAATAGAAATTCTATGAGGGGAGGGGTGGGTTTGGAAAGGACAAGCTGGATGAATATTGAGTGAGATTGAGTAAGAGCAGCGAATACGGAGATCGGCCAATTTTACATTTAATGGGTAACGTTAAGTGATTTTTATTATTTTTTATTATTAGTTTTTATTTGTTATTCTTTATTTTTTATTTTATTTTATTTTATTTTATTTTCTGGACTGTTGTACCAGTGCTGGCTGCTTTTTTCTTTTTTTTTTACTTCTTCCTACGGAGTAATAATAAGTGTAGAAAGTATGGAAAGGCGTGGGATACTAGGTAATAAGTGTGGTGTGGTGGCAGTGGGTGGTGCAGGTGGTAGTGGGGGGAGATCCAAAGGTGGTTCCAAATGAGGTCCCTTGGATGGAAGCGGGTCCCTTTACTTTGGGTTAGATGGCCTAGAGATGGCGTGTTATTAGTCTTCTCAATATTTATTGCTATTGGTATGTTCATTTGTTGATGGAACTAATAAGGGCTTGACATTCCCCCTGCTATGTGGTCACTATGGAGAGATTGACTAAGGGAAGCTATGGAAACTACCGCTATGGAAACTAGTATTATGGCGAGCATCATGTTCAACTACCAAATTCAAAAATATGGGCTTCTCATGATTTTGGTGGTCGTTGGCACGTTGGGACGCTAACTAAACCAGGATTCCAATCTTTATTGGCTCTCAACCATCGGAATTCACTCAACACCGACATATTGGATCAGGGCACATGGCTCAAAAGGGTTTAGAGGAGAAATCATCGAATACGCTAGAACGCCAAACCTTGAAGCCCTGATATTCACAAATCCATTGCCACTTTAACTTTACATGGTCTTACTCTGGACGCATATCACACTCTCTGGTCCGAGCTCATTCTTTTCCACTCCCCTCGATTCCTTTTAGGTATTCAGCTAAGCACTTCAACCAATCCTCACTCCAAACATCGGCCCTCAATTCAGTTGTCAATGAAAGATTTCTAAGAGGAATTGTTTGGAGAAAAAAAGTACTCACTTGTGTGTGTCTCTCTCTCTCTCTCTCGATTACTCTATTACAGACCAACCCCCCCCCCCCCCCCCCCATCTCTTCTTGTAAGTTGTCATCCTTTCAATTCAATCTCAAAATACCCTCCTCTTCCTCTTCTTCCTCTTCTTCCTCTTCATACATCAAAAAAGTACTTTGAAAACTATTCAAGTTGTTTGTCTTGTTTATAAAAAAAAACACTTCATTCTACTTCTTCTCATTACACTTAGAATAACGAAATAAATAGATTTCTTTACGTTTTTGTTTACGTACGGATTTCCCTTTCTCTATTCTCTTGATCCTTTCCAGAACTCCACACCGTCAAAGATTAAAGTCGGTAGAAGAAAAGATTCCTTGAAACTCTCGAGTCTCTACCTATGTAAGCTCATATTCTACCCTCTTTTCTTATCTTTTTGTCTCCTTCTTCCTCCGTATACGGACTTCCCCAAACTCATTCATTCTCTCCTCCGTTCAGCCCAAACACCACACCACTTTGGGCCTTGTAGAAGTTTTCTTCAACTGACTAACAATTTACTCTTCCGCACATTCAGACATTTGTTGATTACTTCCTCTTTTCATCATGCCTTCCGCTACAGCATCCGG